GACAATGCCACCCAAACGTCAAGCTTCTTAGCGACAGGAAACAGCCAGCGTGAAATCATTTTTAAAGTTTTCTTGACAAGAAGTGTCCTGGCTATTCCGCTGGCGTTAATTACATCGTTTTCAAACGGGCTGGTATTATATCTGTTCTACAAAGATCCAAAGAAATGCATCCGTTCATCCCCCACAAGTCTTCTGGTTGCCAGCTTGGCTCTAGTAGACTTCTTGGTTGGCTGTGCCTTGGAACCAACTGATGTGTATTACAACTGGTCGATAGCTTTTGGAAAGAAGCCCCAGATTGATCGAAAGGACATGCAGAGTGCATCGGCCTTTCTCATCCTTTGCTCTATTTTGCTTCTGATGTTGATCACATTTGACCGTTACACTGCAGTATCCCAACCGATCAAGTATGCTCACAGAATAACCAAGAAGAGAGTTTATACCAGCGTGATTTTCGTCTTCATCTATTGCACAACACTCATCTTTGCTGTAAGAAGATGGCTGGAACGTTACAGAAACGAACTGTTTTGTGGTCATGTAGATCTGGTCCTGATTGTTACCACTGCTCTATTTGGAGGTATAATTATATCTCTTCGAAAACAAACTCGAAAGCTGAAAAGACTTAGTGTAAGCTCCGATGATGTTTTCGTCGTGCAAGCAAGTGAGCGAGAAAGAAAAGTCACACTAACACTGTCTGTTATGCTGGTAACATTTTTGGCTTGTACAATGCCGTGGTTTATAATGATGCAGGTTTTTGATTACTGTGCAATTTGCCGAGAGAAATGGTGGGTAATGAGACTTCTATTCATTTTGGTTCAAGCAAACTGTGCTATTAATCCATTCATTTGCACTCTTCGGTTACCACGTTATAAAGCGGGGCTTAAAATGGCTTTATCGCAAACAGCTTGTTACCGGCGTGCTTCTCCTTCAGCCTGGCAAGGACTTCAAGCTCACAGACTTAGAAAGCGTAGATCAAGTAGTTACACCCCTAACGAAGTGATCAGTAGAAGAAAACATCATCGAGTTGTAACCTCGTTAAATATTCCGCCGTTTTGACTCAATATCAATTTAAAAACTCGGGAAACGGATGTTAACTAAGTACAGAGTTGGGTTAATTTAAGTCTAATATAATGCCCTTTTGCTAATCAGTAAGAAACCTTAACTTTTATCAGATGAACAAACAGACGGATGAAAAAATTGGTTTTACATTTATTCATGTAACCATTATGACGTCCTTTTAGATCAATAGAGAGTATGATGTATTTAGTCTTTTAAACCCATGGTGGAAAAAACACTCAAAGTTAAGTTAGGACAATACCGTAAAATTCCGAGAATAAGCCCCTCCATGTATAAGCCCCTCGAAATATAAGCCCCCTAAACTAGTAACGCGAAAAACCCTCCGTTAAAAATTGCCCTTAAATAAAAAATAATAAAACAGAGCAAAAACGGTACAGTAGCGTGTAATTTTTCACGGTATTTGCCAAAGAACTATTACGTGTGCGAAATGATTGCAATCAGAAAGTGTCACAGCTTATTGCTGTGTACGTAGTTCCTCTTCACTCTTGGCTTTGATTTCCTCGGTCCTTGAAGGGCTGCGTTTCAGAAAGGTCTACGTCCTCAGGGCGTGTTTCAGTAAAAACTTTCTACAAATTACTGACATAAGTTCCCTTTCAACTAAAAGTTAGCCTGACCGATTTTGAGACGCAAATCTCCCTCCAAGTATAAGCTTAGCCAGGAGCCCATCAAATTTGATCGGCTCCGGGCTTAGCCGATTTTGAAACGCAAACTTCCCGTATATAAGCCCCTCCAAAAATAAGACCCTCAAAAGGGCCTTTGAAAAATATAAGCCCCGGGGATTATTTTCGGAATTTTACGGTATTAGCTAAATGCATAGGCTGTAACATCTACAAGTGCTCCGGTCATTTCGTGTCGAGGACGCAACACTTCGTTCATTAAACGGAGACTTAAAGATATAGACTATAATTTTTTTCGGAAATTACTTTGGCTGTTCTAGGTGAAGATTTACATCTTGGCAATCTGCTAACCGAACGAAAAACCGTGTAGCTAATTGAAAATAATAAATAGATCAGGAAAACCCGATATTGAGTTTCGCAAAACAGAAACCGCCAAATTTGTATAAAATGTCAACGGTTACATAACATACCCGAGAAACGTGAGTGCACGTTCACAGTCGTTAGGTACATTTATTTTCGATTCGTCAGTTCGTGCAACATTTCAGATCAAAGCAGAGGTAGAAAAAGGTAACAGCGAGATCGAAAGATACGTTGAGTGAATGAACAGGTGTATTTTTTCTGCACTTTGAACACTAATTAGCAAAAGTACTGTGCTTCCCGGCGTCGTAACGTTGCATCTGTCCATTGTTATCAGTGGAACCTCGCCCTCAAGTACAACGAAGTGCAACGGGATTCACCATATGAGCCTCGATGCCGATTACGGGGTCGATGAGGTTCAAGGTCATGTAGACTTTGCGTGGTCTAGAGAAAATAAGCCATGCAGAAATTAATGAACTGCTATTCCACAACTAAGGAATTTGTATGTACTCCAATAAACCGAGACCAGGTTGGCCGGTGAAGAAAAGGAATGCAAGCAGCCACCCACAACTCTCTTTCAGTTTTTTTTTGTTCTTGTGGCTATCCGTCCGCCATGAATGGGAACGCTTGCTAGGCAGGCTAGCCATAAATAAATAAAAGTACTCTTTTAATTGCTGACAATATTTTTTCCTTTACAGACCATGTTCAAAACGTTTCTTTGTCCAGTCTTGTACTCCTGTTCCACTTGACTCTCGGGAGGAAATTTCTTAAGTCCTCTCTCACAGCGCATGCTCTTATTCCACTCATGTCTAACCCTTAGAAAACCAAACTTTTCATTAAAATGCAAACTAAAGCCCACGGCTGCCTTTGGCCATGTATAGCTTTTGTCAGTTTAAAGTACACGGGCAAAACAGAAAAATGACCCAAGAAATATACTTTTGATTTTTTAATATATATTTTGTCTTTTTCTAATTAAAAGATCCTTTGCTATAAGCTTTAAAACAATTGTATGTCCAGTAATAGAATGGTAACAGAGTTTTCCCATTTTGATTTTTGAATGTGCAGTCAATCGATCTTCATGTCGGGGTTGCGAGTCTCTGTCTCTCCAACTACAAACAGTCAATTTTTCGGAAATTACGTAGATTTTTGCTTGTAAACGGTGAAGAATTATATCTTAGCAAACTACTGACCGAAAGTAAAACCGTACAGCTAATTGAAAATAATAAAAAGATAAGGAAAAGCTCAGATAGAGTTTCGCTAAACAGAAACCGACAAAGTTTGAGCAAAATCGAAACGGTTATGTAACAAATCCAGAAGGCACGAGTGCACGTTTTTCACCCGTACGCAGACACTTTGTTCGTGCAACATTACACTAAAGCGGAAGCGAAAAAAGGTCGTAAACGAGAGATAAAAAAATAAGCGTCTTCTACGAAAAAAAAATTCTGGTCTGTTTTCTTTTCTGCTGAGATGTTTGTGGGAATCGTGTGGGAAAATCAGGTTAAAACACACAGGTTTGTAAAAACGCTATGAACAGCAGTAAGACGACTCTAAACGCGCTGCATTATATAATGGAAAGCAGCACAAACGATGTCCATTTTTTTTAATTAGGCCAACTTAAGCTGCAACGATGCATCGGTGAACCACGTTATTGCTTCACAAGATAGCGAATATCTATATTTGAACTAGATATCGCGATATTGACGTAAGATACTATCTAAGAGAGATTTAAAGTGACGTTTACGGAAAAACGGCAAACGTCAGATTAAAGTTGAGAATTTCTCAAAATCAAAAACGTGCAGCTAAAAACAGTCCAAAACAATGGTTAACACCAAACTAACGTAAAACTAGGAATTTCGGGGGTAGGAGTAATGAACAGAGTTAAGCACAACTAAAGGGAATTCTTTGTCACCTGGTACAAATTTACGTTTGCCGTAAACGTGACTCTTAATCTCTCTACATCTCCCTTTTACGCAGAAGATGTTTCGATATTCGTGGACGCACTTTGATGTGTTGTCTGTTCTCAGTTGGCAAGTCTGATAGCTTGTGAAAGTGTGGTATGCGTTGATATAGGCTATATCGAAATTTTTGTGAAATCACTTTTTAATATTGGCCCTTCACTAAACCTCTGCATTTTAGCCATTGTAAGTAGCCTGACGTCGGTCGTTTTTACCACCTCCCTGACAGGAGAAAACGACTCGAAGTAATCGTCTGAAATTCAGGCTAAAAGGAAACCCTGCTTCACGTGCTTATCTTCTTATTAAAATGGTTGACAAAATACGAACAAATGCGACCAATAAAGGAATGCGTCATTACTATTTTTACTAATACTGTGAAAGGTTTGAACCCAGGAGTCATTTCAAAAGTAGGTTGAGTTTGATCGTCCAGGTGAATGTAGTCCTGAATAGGACTGTTGTTGTTGACAGTGACTGACGTTTCGACAACCTGTGCGGTAGCCACGATGTTATTGTCTATGAAGACTCGTAATCAGTAATTGGTGCGTTTCGATCCGTCTATTGTCACAGTTAAACAGTCGTCTATTGTTAGTCAAATTGTCAGCTCTCCAGTCGTTCTCTCGTAGTTAGTTTTGCTTGATCTCGCCAATAAGTCGTTTGTACGGCGCTGGTAACTGTTGGCTACGATTCATTGGCGTTTGTTCTAAGTTAGAACAAACTGTCAGCTAGACAGTCTTAAGCGCAAGCAATGGAAGGGGATTTGGGTTTGTGGCTCCATTATATTCTGTCCAAGACTGTAGTCCTGCACGGTAATGTATGGTATCTTGCATAGTATCGTACAGCCCTTGTATCGCAAACCAGTATCGTATAGTGCAAAAATATATCTTGCAGCCCTATATATATAGAAGACATGGACGAATTTTTCACTAATTTTATTGCTTCTCTCTCTTAGTAAAGAGACCTTTTGACAACGAGTCCATGGCCTATAATGATAAAAAAAAAATCCATTCTTTTAATGGCTGACAAAGTTTAATAAGTTTACAGACAGGTTCATAAAGATTCCTCGTCCAGTCTTGTACTCCTATTCTAAATCTACTTTCTTGGAGTAAAATCATCTCTCATTGCGCTGCTCTTATGCTCTCCACCCAGCAAACCAAACTTTTCATTAAAATGCAACCTAAAGCCCACAGCTGCCTTTCGTGATAAAGTTGTCAGTTCAAACCTCGAGGACATTTTCAAGTTTTTTATATGTTTGCATTGTGAATTTTTAAAACTTCCTTTAGTGCTTCAGATCTTAAAACATACTTAACTCTGAAGAAAATTTGCTATTAGCTCCTCCTCAAGCTAGCGTAACTAAATCATTTCATTTAAACAAGTGTAAGTCCACTAATATAATGGCTACAGTGTTTTTCTCCACTGATTACTTAATGTGCGATAATCAATCAATCAATCAATGTCCATGTCGGGGTCGACTTTCTTTCCCTCCTCTCCGGGGCTAGCTTGTTTTTCCTGTTCAGCTTGCTTGTCTGTAGCCTGCTCGCTGTCTTCATCCATCTTCTCTTCGCTTTTCTCGTCGTCCTTGTTTTCTTGCTGTTTTTCTTCTTCCTTTGGTGGAGGTTCCGCCTTTGGTTTTGGTTTCGGTTTGTTTAATATTGTGTAGCAGGTATCTTCTAACAACTACAAAAACAACACAACACATCGCTTAACCGTCGTTAACTAACTTTCAATTTACGCGAAATTATCAATGCTATTTTAAAAGTCTTTTTTTTTCTGACGTCGCTGATTTGAGGGGCTCGCGCCGCTAAGCACACAATAGGGAGCTTATGCAACCCTGAAAAAGAAGGCAACAAGAACTGTTAAGAGTAAAACAACAACTGTCCACTTGTACACACATTGTAGGCTTCATTTGGCAAATTGAACGAGATTGAATCAAAACGCGATAAAGTTTGGCACGACGGCAAAAAAGAAAATCAGTTTCTGATTGATGTCTCCACTTCCTTAGTCGTGGTGGTTGCTTCAGCAAGCTCCCTGCAGTCAGTAAACTGGGTTAAAAGTGCAGCTGTGAGGCGTGCGAGCGAGCTACAGTACCACGTCTGTTCAAAACAATGCTTAAGTGTTTGGATTATCAGAAAGTATGTCATTTTCCAGGTACTTCTAACGAGACACAATTTTCGACCCCCATACACTCTGATTCAAAAGCATCAGAAATTATCGGCGTTTTATAACTTAAGGCAATGTAAAGAGGCGGTAGCAAATTACCTTTTTCTCGGAATTAATAAACGAGGTTAATACTGCAGGATCTTGATGATCAGCCAGCTTGCTCTGTGCATTCCATTTTTTAGTGAGCCACTGTTCTTTCTCGGCAACAGCTTTCTCCACTTTTTTGATCTCTTCTGCTTCAATATGATCATACTTCTCGTCCTAAAATATCAAAAAGTATTATTATTAAGATTTGCTGTATCAGTCAAGCATCAAAAATAAAACCCAACTGTAAATAAAAACAACACACACTAAAAGAGGACAATAGACCTATTACAGCTGTGGGCTTAATACACAAGCCAAGGGAATTTGAGGCGGCCGGGTTGGCCTTGTTTTGATACAGAACCATTTTGTTTTCTTATGGAAATTACCGTAAAATTCCGAAAATAAGCCCCTCCAAATATAAGACCCCCAACCGGTAACGCAAAAAACCCTCCGTTAAATTGCCCCTCCAAACGTAAGTCCCCCGGGGACTTGTACTTGGAAAATTGCCCTCAAATACAAAGTAAAACAAAGCAAAAACGGTAAATTTCCTTCCACCTATAAGGCTAGCCCAATCGATTTTGAAACGCAAATTTCCCTCCGAATATAAGCCCCTCCGAACATATACTATGCCCCTCAAAAAGGGTCTTTGAAAAATATAAGCCCCGGGGCTTATTTTCGAAATTTTACGGCATGCTCTAAAAATACCAGTGAGTATAAGAACAACATCATTTACATGATTTTCATAACTGACGAAATGAAAACAAGCTCAACTCCAGTCTCGTTTCCATATGTTAAACTTCTACATTAGAAATTTCTGCAATTTGATTGGTTTAGAGCAGTGGTATTTCAGCTTAACTTGAAATACCTACATGTGAAAATTACAAACGTTTTGTGGGTAGTAGTATAAACAAAAGATAGCATGATTTGTACGTGATATTTGGCATAAAGAGCACTCGTAATATTTCAAAATTGTCTCAAATTTACAACAATTTTGAAATATCACTCGTGGTATTTATGTCAAATATCACTACTAATCATACTATTACCTATACGAACTTTAAATTTTTTCAGACGCTCATTAAACCTAGCATTATATAAATAAAGTTATCAAACCTTAATTTCTTCAAAGTATTGATCAATTTCACTAGCAATTTTTTAATCGTACTCACATACTCACCTTCTGTGCACAGAGCTCCAGAACTTTTCTTATCTGTTGCAAGCTCTTTCCCATTTCCTCAAAAGCTGTAGGTCTTGTGAAGGACTCCTGGTACCTAGTCACTACAGGGTCTCCAACTTTCTAAATAAGTTAAACAAATAATGGGAGCTTAACCTTACAGTATTATACACCAAGACTTACACTTAAAGAGTAGTAAAGATTTGGAGTAGTAAGAGGGTAGAGAAAACCCTATACTCAAAAGGAATCCATGGGAAGAGTGACAGGGTGGGGTGAAGCAAGATCAGTGGGGCTGAGAAGAAAATTCAGACATTTTCGCCCCAACATGTGGCCTTTATCCACAAATTGCAATCATAAATACCATGAAAGTAAGGAGATTAATATAGGGCAAGCACTAGCGTTTGTTTCTTAGATATGACAACCCTGCTAACAGCTTGTCTACTTTTTGTTTCTTACAGGATTTACTATGAGATCTCCTAACTCCATAGCAAAGGGGTAAGGATCAACTGTCATTCTTTCTCTTCCTTACTCAACGAGTTTACCTCTGGGACCACAGAAACTGTTCCACTATCCCCGCCCATTTTTTCAGTATTTCCTGGAGAAGAGATTTACCTTCAATTCATCAAGTTTGTCTTGATAAACCTTTTTGGACTGGTCTTCTCCATCTTCATACAGCCAGTTCTCAGTTTCTTCAAGAGTCTGTTCAAATTTTGTTCTTGCCTGAACAGTGGACACAAAAGGAATGAGTAAATAAGATGAATACGTGTAAAGAAATAAGAAACGACATAGAACATAAAAAACGTTACCACCGCCAAGAAACAACTCATATCTATAGACCATTAGCCGCATGACTTCCAATCTGCTACCTTGAATTTCTAATTCAATGGCATAGATAAACAAACGAAAGTCAAACTAATATGATACCTCCTCAGTGATAAATTTCTCATACTCTGAGAACAGTTTTCCTCTCATGTCGTACACATAGGCTTCCACTGCATTCTTGGCAATTCCTTTCTCTCTTTCTTTTCGATCCTGGATAATCATTTGGTTCTATAACAGACGAGTTACGAAAAAACGGTGTTTTCACAATGCGAGTCAAAAAGTTAACAGCCAGGAAATATTTTATATTACGCCAGTGTACAATCGTGCGACTGGCTACTCTTTGTTTCCTGGCCATTAATATTCAAATAAAACCTGAACGCAAATGGCTTTACTTGTACCGTATGCTGCAAGTGTCTTAACTTAAAACACTTGAGTGGACTCTACTGATTCCACTTCCATGCTATGGTTGAGACTACAAGCAGGCTCTCTTTTTGTTTATAAGAAGAAGTGAGCAGCTTAACAATCCCAAACACAACAGCCCTTTTGCAGGCTTGTAATGCTAACATTTTCAGTTACCATTGGGAAGGCTGTTTAATTCACCAGTCTATGGACATGAGGATGAGCATCAGTTCTGGGATGAATTCTTCATTCCTGCATACTCATCCAACACGTTTCATCTTACAAAGAAACTTAACAGTTGATACTGCTAGTTTTATTCACCGCCTTTAAAAGGTAATAAAAACTGACTTCATAGGCGTAACATAGTTACTGGCAAACTTGTACATTTCTTTGTAGCCTACATGGCCCAGTTATGAATCCAAACTCGCTGGAGGGAAACAGTTGGCTATTTTACACTAGCCACCTCCAATTCGGTGAATAATAATTATTCAGCAATATCTATTTTCTTATGTTATCTGTACATTAACAAAAGCAAAGCCATTATTTTTTACCGTTCCAAGACATCCTGTTAAATCAGTGTGATGATAAAAAAATGATGGTCCCATTAACTAGAGACTAACCCAACTGGGGCTACATAAACCTTGAAATCAAACAAATATTACTGCTTTTGCCTTTGTAAGCATGACCTGTGACTTACTGATGCATGTCATGTGGCTAGAATTAAGTGCACGGCACAGTAATCAACCTTAAAGAACAAACCTCTTTCTCAATAGCTTCTTGTAACTCAGACTGTTTCAGTGCAGGAACTGATGACTCCACTCTCAAATCAATTGTTTTTACTTGCTGTTTCTTTTTCTTGGGTGGTGCACCATTATCCTTCTTAACTTTGGAATCTTTGTCATTTTCTACACTTTCCTCTTTGTCCTTACCACTATCTGTCTGCTCTGTTGTTTCCGAAGTCTACCATAAAAATAAGGATACAATGTATTAAGAAAAGGTGCAGCACAACACGTTATTTCTAACAACTACTGCATCATTAACTTTAAAAAGCAATAATATTCTAACACTGATTTTCATGAAACACTTGTGACACATAAAGAGTTACTCAAGTTAAAACAAGTCCAAAATAGTGTCACTAATTTTATTTGGGAGAACACATTTGTGCTCAAGGTTCAGAGACTCAACACCGAGTCACTTAAGTAATAGTCTTTATTGTTAAAATTCACACTTGTATTCCACCCTCCTGTTGCATTGTAGTAGTTCTTGGAAATTTTAAATTCATAAGTTGTAGACAAACCTCAGTTGATGTCTCCATTTGTTCTTCGCTGTTCTCTTTTTCCTGTGACCCACTAGATCCTTGGGCTTCTGCGTCATCCTGTACCAAAAACAAAAACAAATAGTTAATCAATAAGCAAACAATAAAAAGATGTTGTGGTGTATGAGTACAAAATAAAATATACCACAACAGCACAATACAATATACAATTCTGGCATAAATTTACAATAAAAACAATAAAAAAATGTTGTGGTGTATGAGTACAAAATAAAATATACCACAACAGCACAATACAATATACAATTCTGGCATAAATTTACAATAAAAACAATAAAAAAATGTTGTGGTGTATGAGTACAAAATAAAATATACCACAACAGCACAATACAATATACAATTCTGGCATAAATTTACAATAAAAACAATAAAAAAATGTTGTGGTGTATGAGTACAAAATAAAATATACCACAACAGCACAATACAATATACAATTCTGGCATAAATTTACAATAAAAACAATAAAAAGATGTTGTGGTGTATGAGTACAAAATAAAATATACCACAACAGCACAATACAATATACAATTCTGGCATAAATTTACAATAAAAACAATAAAAAAATGTTGTGGTGTATGAGTGCAAAATAAAATATACCACAACAGCACAATACAATATACAATTCTGGCATAAATTTACAATAAAAACAATAAAAAAATGTTGTGGTGTATGAGTACAAAATAAAATATACCACAACAGCACAATACAATATACTATTCTGGCATAAATTTACAATAAAAAAACAATAAAAAAATGTTGTGGTGTATGAGTACAAAATAAAATATACCACAACAGCACAATACAATATACTATTCTGGCATAAATTTACAATAAAAACAATAAAAAAAAATGTTGTGGTGTATGAGTACAAAATAAAATATACCACAACAGCACAATACAATATACTATTCTGGCATAAATTTACAATAAAAACAATAAAAAAATGTTGTGGTGTATGAGTACAAAATAAAATATACCACAACAGCACAATACAATATACAATTCTGGCATAAATTTACAATAAAAACAATAAAAAAATGTTGTGGTGTATGAGTACAAAATAAAATATACCACAACAGCACAATACAATATACTATTCTGGCATAAATTTACAATAAAAACAATAAAAAAATGTTGTGGTGTATGAGTACAAAATAAAATATACCACAACAGCACAATACAATATACTATTCTGGCATAAATTTACAATAAAAACAATAAAAAAATGTTGTGGTGTATGAGTACAAAATAAAATATACCACAACAGCACAATACAATATACAATTCTGGCATAAATTTACAATAAAAACAATAAAAAAATGTTGTGGTGTATGAGTACAAAATAAAATATACCACAACAGCACAATACAATATACAATTCTGGCATAAATTTACAATAAAAACAATAAAAAAATGTTGTGGTGTATGAGTACAAAATAAAATATACCACAACAGCACAATACAATATACAATTCTGGCATAAATTTACAATAAAAACAATAAAAAAATGTTGTGGTGTATGAGTACAAAATAAAATATACCACAACAGCACAATACAATATACAATTCTGGCATAAATTTACAATAAAAACAATAAAAAAATGTTGTGGTGTATGAGTGCAAAATAAAATATACCACAACAGCACAATACAATATACAATTCTGGCATAAATTTACAATAAAAACAATAAAAAAATGTTGTGGTGTATGAGTGCAAAATAAAATATACCATAACAGCACAATACAATATACAATTCTGGCATAAATTTATAGATGTACATGCCCCTTTTTTTTCAGTATTATTGCCACAACACCCAAGTGCCTTCTTAGCAGTTTCATCTTCTTTCCAATTAATTTGACTACCTAATCAAAAGAGATGCTTGTAATTCGTACTTTAAAACCATCCCTAAACATGCAAACTGACTCTGTTTGGGCTAAAGACTGTTTGCTAATAGAATTTTCCTTTGTATTAAAGTATGCTAATTATTCCTGAATCACAACTCTTTAAAACAAAGTGTGAATAAAGTGTAAAGTATTTGCATCATTTGTTACTTAACAAGTATATAGTCTTGATAATGGCATTACAATGCACAGAATTAATGTTAACTTTTTCCGCTCTTCTTTACTTTTTTCTCTTTTAGTAAATTGCTGTTAATAGAAAGATTGATTTTTTCCATTTTTGTTTGTTTTGTGCAAAGTAATGTATACATGGCAAACATTTTTCAGAAAAGAAAGAAGCAATTAAAGCATGACTTGTATTTTCTTTTGTCTAATTTTGTACCTTGCTGGCATCATCGCCGGATGTTTCTTTTGATTTGTCCTCCTGTCCTTCAACTTCCATCTTCTCAGTTTCAGGTTCAGGAATGGATGCAATTTTCTCCACCAAACTTGCATTAACAACATTCAAAACACCATGGATGTCTAAACGAACTTTCAATTTGATCTTTGATGATTCTCCATCCTTGCTAGGCACCACATCCTTGATGGAAAAACACCCTGACAGAAAAAAGCCTCAGACTTTGATGCAAGCGTGACAGTTCAACCAGATTCCCCGGCACTAAATTCTGGTAGTCACCGGCAACACAGTCAGAGTCCTACAGTTGTATGTGGAGTTGATAGAGTGCAATACAGTGCACATGACCTGGTGAACTTAAAAAACTGGAGCCATAAGCAGAGTTGGATGAATCTGAACGTTTCCATTTTATTTTGGCTCTGCTTCAGACACCATCACTTGCAATCTAGTGAAAACCAGATCGTCAGAGTTGCATGGTTCATACAGAATTTTTTGGGAAAAAAATCAAGGACTTTTCAAGGACTAAATTCATTTTTTCAAGGACTTCTTTTCCCCAACAACATGAACTAAAGACCTTTAAAATGCGCAGGTGGAGGGTGTTCACTTATTGCAATACCTTCCTTCATTAAGGCAAGGCTAAAAGGGTGCTTCAAATAACGGAAAATGAACTATGCCAGGAACACCGAAATCATAAGAAAACACTCTCTTGATCACCAAGGAAAATTTATGTATTGCTCTGCATTGCTTTCAATCATTCCTTTGTGCAAAACATGCTTTTTTTTTAACGAAGGTTATTTTTATTCAAGGAGCTTTCAAAAATAATCAAGGACTTCTGTGGAGAATTCAAGGACTTTTCAAGGATATCCATCAATTTTTCAATTTTCAAGGACTTTTCAAGAACATGATGCTTTTTCAAGGACTTTTCATGGCCTGTGTGAACCATGGAGTTGGAAGAAGATGCGGAAAGATAAACCAATAACAGTGCTCATTCTCAAGCTTGGTAATTGGTTTACTTCCTCTGCTTCTCCAATAACCTAGTGTTCACTAGATGGTTAGTGATGGAGTAGAAATTGAAATCACAACACTGTCTTAGCTAGATTGTAAAGCTATGCTTCTGGTTAAGACACCAATACCGTCTCTGTTGCTAGTGAAACACCAGCCTTATTTTTAAGGATTTATTCAAGGGGCTTACCTATAAATCCATCTTTAAGAGGAAGATCAACATTTTTATCATAGTTTGCTTCTAAGTTGAATGGTTCTTTGCGATAAAAAGTCAGCATCTTTGAGAAAGGGAAAGGGTGGTTAACAGCAAAAACCTCCATCTCCCTGAGGCAATAAACAATAAGATTAAACAACAGCATTGAAAGTTGTTCTAAGAAATGTCTAGCATTTCATGTCAGTGAGCAAACAAGATGAGTCAGGGGAAGAGAGACTGTAAGATCAAGTTTAAGGTTGAAAATTAAAGAAGATCATTATAGTTTGATAACCTAAGCCTTTGTTCACAGTTATACACTCAGGAAAGGCGTAATATTAAGTAAACAAATTACAACCATTTTTTAAAACAGGTTGATGGTTTGCTAACAGTCCTTATAAGGAAGATTGGTGACAGTTACATTTGTTTTGACATCCAGCACATTATTGTGAAAGTCAAAATGATCGTTTAAAAATAACAATGATTACGGCTTCAACACAAGTTGTCAAAACAGCAGTTACTATCACAAACAGAGCTACATCAGTTATTACACTAAAACAGGCATATCAAATCATAACCTAAAGGTACATGTACTCATAACACTACTATACCTTTGGTAAATTGTTTGGAATATTTAAACTAAAATGGTGTCATCATGCACACCTTTTATACTTACTTGATTTGAAAATACTAGCCAAATGTCAGTGAGGGCATAGGATTTGGATTATTCATAACCGGTGAATTTACAGACATTTGTATCGACACCTTAACATAAATCACCACGGGTAGCCAAAGCTTGAAATATGAGCATTGGCGAGCATCAGCATTGTTGCATAACATTTGAAATATAAGGATTTGTATGGGCAAAAACCTATTAATGAATGAAGAGTCGTGGATGATAGGACAACAGACATGCCCTCTTACAATACATTTTTTAACATGTGAACAGTAAGCTTGGACGTCAGCATACAAAGGCGCCACTGGCAGCCACTCTCAGTCCATTCGTGAGCTTACTGTACCCACCCAGCACATGATGTGAATGATGTGATGTGAGAAGGTTGACCACAACACCGGGGTCTACGCCCCTACTCTTTTCAATCAGTGGCGCCGGTTCTTTTACATCCCACAAGAATCAGATAAGTGTAAGTGCCGTGTTTTCCTTTAGCAGATCTGATCCATTGCTTTGCTCCAGTGCCCAACCTTGGGAATCTATTGCTTAGAGAGCAAACCGATTCCAATAACACCCATCAAATGGCCATAAATCAGCTTGGAAACCACACAGGAAAGAACAAACACACAACTTACGCAAGGTTAGCCGATTTTCATTTAAATCCTTTTACATTCGTAGGCAACAGAAACAATTGTTTTTCTCCCATACAAATCTTTATATTTTGAATGTTAGGCAACAGTGCTGATGGTCATATTTTGAGCTTGGGCCACCTGTAAAATCACTTACGTATCAAGGTGTTAAAATTTTAGACAGTAAATAAAAATAAAATTGATTAAGTTCATACCCTTCATCCTCAGCATTGTGTGATTTCCAGTTGAGAACAATAGGATATGGTGACACATCATTGACAGCAAATTCCCGTACTCTGAAAGTAGGTGAGAGCATTGCACTTTGCAGGGCACAACCTCTAGCCACAGCCTCATCTGCATTCAGAGTTGTGCTGACCTCTTTCTCAAAAGCTTTCCTTATAATATTTTTGACAGCAGGAATGCGTGTAGAGCCTCCCACTATTTCAACTGCCTCTATATCAGCAAGCTTTAGTCCTGTTGAGAGTAACACCAGGAAGTATTTTTATATGTTATGAAAATAATTATGTTCAGTCAAACCCAATAACAACAGCCACTTCTGCGATATGAACAATACAATAGCATACAAACCTGATTTTTCCAGCAATGATTTTAGCGTTGCTTCCAGTCGCTGAAGAGAACTTGAAATCATTTCTTCAAAATCAGCTCTTAAACAAAAACAGTCACACATCAGAAGAACTGGCCATGACTTTTGTCGCCTTCCCAGGAGAATTTTTTTTTGTTCCTTATTATTTCAAAGGGCTTCAGGAATAACCTGCAAATACAGCTGTGTCTCGCAAAAGAGATGTCTGTGCCTCAGTAACAGAAGTTCCATACTGGTGACATAAATCAATGTTTACATAATTAATCTGGTAGTCATGGGGTTTCAAATGTAAATTTGTTGGATTTTATGTTTCTCATGGTCAATTATGGTAACGTTTTGTGTCCTTCTGCAAACAAGCTCCAGCAAGACTCAAATGCTTCTTGTAAAGAAGAATATATTCCACAAATGTTGACTGTTTTGTGGCAGATTCAGTGCATTTACATTTGACCTTTGTTGCCCTTGGCTTTTGTCTGTCATTTGTATACAATAGCTAAAATAATAAATGTACTACATTGACCAAACAGAGCTCCTCAACAAAGTTCGGACAGATTTTAACTTATCTGTAAGGAATTTCTGCCGCTGAGACGCAAAAATTGTTTCTGCATAACATCCCTAGCGGCAAGGAGCAAGGAGAGACGGCTGTATTCACAGGCTACTAAGGGAACGATTGGCCAATCAGAATCTGTGTGCTGTGCATATATTTGGTAGTTCTTAGGGGACAGTATAAGAAAATGATTTGATGCCTTAGTAAAGAATTCATTTTTAACAAAATGGCTGCCACACAATCACCTTGCAGTGGCTTTTAAGACCATACTTTCATGGTACAAGGTTAAAAAATTAACGCACCATTTAAAAACAAAAATTGGAATGGTTAAGTTCAAATACATCCTGAAAAGTTTTAAATTAAGAATTTTGCCTTTGAGGACTTTGACCTAACTTTTTCCACCGCCAGCAGAGCACATGTCCAGTTTTAAATGAATTTAAAATGGCAGCAAAGTACTTTCAGATACATTTTGGTCAGACGAATAACATTTTTTAAAGGAAATATGTTTCATAGAGGCGTTATATACATTTTAAATTACACTTTAAAGAAAACTTAGAAAATGCGCCCAAATTTTAGAAAAAATAAAGTGCTGAATTTTGTCATGTGTTCAGCAAATTTTACTTCTATCATCCAGTGAGTGTTATGTGAATTGCTTCTAATAACATTTTTCAAGAAATCATTTTTGTCTTTTTTATTCATGACATAAGTTCAACACGTCCAGTCTCATGGCAATGAGAAAGTTGGACTGAGAGAAAGTGATTATTGTTCAAAAGATGGAAAGCGCTATCCACCCAGATAAATCACTATCCAGCAGAGAAGAGATTTATAGAGATTTATCCGATGGATAACATTATCCAACTTTTGAACAATGTGGGCCAGATTTATATTTGTTGTGTGTTGTGTGTGTGAATGCTGCAAATTAGTTTGCAGAGTGGGAATTTGAATGTATAGGATCTAACAATTCCATGCAGTATACTCAGAGGCCCCATTCACACATTTTAATTTTAAACTTGCGAGAAAAGTTATTAATGAAGTCAATTTCACCCTTAGTCTAACTCTCTCATTAACATGGTTAAAATAATAAGACTCTTATAAAGGCCTAAAATTTAGCATACTTAATGTATATCATGGAAACCTATAGGGATAATTTTTTGGTTTTTATAATGGTGGCCTTATAAGCACAGAGTGCTTAAGCTGAGGCTATACCTTTTCAATCTCCCTGTAACATCCGTATCTTCCATCAGACACTCAACATTCATGGGTATATCCTCTGAGTTGGCACTCATCAGCTTTTTTAACTTCTCACATTCTCGGAGGAGGCGAATATTAGCTTTCGCATTTGTTGAAACATCCAACTTGTACTTTTTCTAATCACGGAAAAAGTAACGTAAGGTTGTTAAGTGAAAAGCATGACATGCAATAGGATCTTGCTAATCAGCCACACATGGTGAAGATAACTGTGTTGACGACCTAAACAGATTTTCTTAGTGTAATAAAGAAACTCTATCCAAAGAAGCATATGAACAACTTATGTTTCATGTAAATGTGTGCATCAAACACTAGCTGTAAAGTTGATAAAAGACATTGAGCAAAAGGAGTAACCTACTTTAAATTCTTCCATAAAATGATCTCTCAACACTTCATCAAAATTCCTGCCTCCTAAGTTTGGATCGGCTACAGTGGCAAGAACCTACATGGAGTTATAATAAGCTGTGAGTATTGGAAAGGATAAACTTACTCAACAAAATAGCTTAGAATAAAGAATATTGATCTGTTTACCAATTTTGGCAAGTGATGTTCATTATTAAAGGGACTGGTTCATGATAATGCACATGCGCGCCGTTTGTCTCTTCAGAATAAATTTGTCGGGTCAACACTAAATTCGAAGTCGCCATTACTGGTACAATCATTGAAAATCCTTTGTTTTATTCGGACATCCGTCGCTTTGGCTGGTCCAGTTATACTTCGGTAGTGGTGATTAACGTGTGGTTGTGTTGTTTGACTGGTTACGTTTTAAGACGATGCAAAAAATAATGTTTTGATCATGGAGGTTCAGAAGAGCATCGTGGCCGTCCGGCAACAGGACGTTCTCAAGAGTCTCTGGAGATAGAGAAGCTTAGCCTATCGATCTAGTATGGTTCTAGGAGTAGTGTGTGGCATACGAAAAGAATACACGACACTTGGAAAGTGGTTAAAGGCATGAGTTCGTTCAACTTTGACTTGATTTTTGACTCCGACCTGTAGTTATACCACAACAGGCCGCGCGATGTTCAGCGATCTGGTACACTTGAAATGTTCCTTGTATCTTTGCTTTACAATCGTACATGTTTAAGAATTGATGTTTTTAAAATAAATTATTGCCTGAATATTCTGTTTATAATCTAGTTTCTTTATGTGTGCTACTCGATAACATTTGTTTTGCGGAACACTGACCCAATGCAACGCGAATGAAGTTGTTCATTTGCTGATAAGCAATTGAAATTTATGCTCAATTAAGGATAATCTTTATACTCATACGTTGTGTGTTTTTGTCACCGGTCAGGTGCTATTTGTAGGTGTTTCTGGGTTTATAGAAGGCGAACTGAGAGAACAGTAATAAGATGTTTGTTTACAAATTTTGTTTGTCCATCGGTGACTGTTTTGTCAGCGTGGGTACAACCCCGTAAAAATACACGTTGGTAAATGTTTGTTTCAAAGCAGGACAGTGCTGTAAATCTTATTCTTATCGGCTGCAACATATATCTGAGGAGTAGCAAAGAATAAACTTGAATTATGGGAATAAATAAAATCAAACCAAATGCCTGGAAATACTCTCGCGTCGCGAACAATTAAGTTGAATTTTGTAAATTTACTTGCGTGCATCTAACTCGCTTCCGATTGGTTGAAAAACAATCAGCTACTGTCAGAACTCACACATGCGCATTATCGTGAACCAGTCCCTTTAAGGACACTTCACATGTTATTACAAAATTATAATTCACTAAAAACTGTTGAAATCAGGTTTGTTTTCTCTCAGCAGTCTCAAATTACATCATACAAGTACATGACAATGTACAATGTACATACCTTGAGAGTTCCCTTTAAGAATGCACAGGCCGAAACTTGTAATGAAGAATGACCCATATCAACAAACACCACATTCCTTGGTTTTTCAGTTGGAAGGTCTTGTTTGTAAATACCATAAGCCAAGGCAACTTAAAAAAAAATAAAAACAGCCAAGCATGTCACCTTTTTTGTTGCATGTTGCCCCTGGAGATTTTGCCAAAAAACACGTTTTGAAGCTTGTCGAGTGGTTTTCTGGTCACTGTCGTGCTATAAAGAGCTAAAACCTACCACAAAGCCGTTTACAGGTTGTACAGTTCGCAGCCTGCTGATCCAGATGCAAAATATTAGCTTCTGAAGTTTGGGCATGCGCAGAAAGCAGAATTTCGAGATTTTTTCTTTTCGCTTTCTCTTCTCTGCTCTTTTTTTGCTTTACTTGCCTCATTTTTTTTCTCTTGCTGGGCATTTAGTAGGCTTCATTTTGGTGGGAAAAGTTTTTAGGAAAGCTTTTAGGATCTTTGGATTAGATGAAAGAAAAGGTAGATGGGTAGTGGAACAAGATTTTCATGCAAATTTTCAGGTCAATGTTACATGGTTTTTGGCCTTTTTCTACGGTGTCCTTGACTGAATTGTGCTCATTTTGGTATGGTTTGACAGGGTTGTCAAAGGAGCCGGCTGCCGGCGAAAATCGGCACCTACTTGGTTAGTATCGACCGGCTACTCTGCTTGGCATTTCTTTATGGATGGTGTTTTTAAAATAAAATATCCCTGGACTGGCCGGTACTTTGACAACTCAGCCGTCTACTTCAAAACTTTCTGACAACCCTGGTTTGAAAGATCTCGTCACTCTGCACAAATTAGCAGACAAAGCTATCCTTGACCATTAAAACTGATGATGTCACAAGCGGTAGAAAGGACGTGGATTCACTTGGGCGGTTACAAGTGGCTCAGGGGCGAATGGGTTAAGCATATTTTATAAGTGCAGCAGATAATACATGTACTGTACATGTAGGCATAGGGTGTGATCCAGTCTCTTCAGCCTTACACACTGATATAAAGTGGTCTACAGGTGTAAGAACTGTACCTGCTGTAGTATCATTCATAAGTCTAAGGCAGTTCATTCCGGCCATGGACACTGCATCCAACATAGCTCTTCTTTGTCTGTCAGTATAGAAGCAGGGAACCTACAAACAAACAATGCTTCATAACAACTGATACATGTACCTCAGACCTGGAGAGAGGAAGGAATTGGGGGGTAATACCATCAGTTTCAGCTGAATTTTTGGCTCCCCAACATTAAAGAAGAAGCACTTGGGGCAAACTATGATCTTATGCTAAACAACCCATAAACAATACTACACTCATCAATTTACAAACTACAATAACAAAACTTTATGTATAATCATGTCTTTTTCTTTACAGCTTCTTGCCATAAAAAGACCTCAGATGTCACATTTTAAAAGCTTGAATGCCCTGTTGACTTCCAACTTTTGATATCACTTGACTAAAAGAACAATAGTATTAGTACTTACAGATACTACACAGTCTGTAACTTTTGTGGACAGTTCAGTTTCAGATATCACTTTAAGTTTTGTCAGGATCATGGCCATAACCTGTTCTGGAGAGAATACTTCTTCATTTTCCAAATAACGGACCTACAAAACAGAAGCAAAGTTGATCCACAATGGCCCATATTTCTTACCAACCTACAGGAATGTGGGCCTACTTATATTTGACTTGTAATGCTACAAGTAACATTACCCTGGGAGCAAGATATCCGGGGAGCCTTGGCTCTCCCTCCATTTGCACCCCACAGTCAGAGCACCCTGGGGGGCATGCTCACAGGCAAGGCAGAGAGGTAATGCATATGTAAAGAGGTCTACAGATAACAAAAACAATGAACATCACTTTAAAAAAATGCTGATACGAGTCCAAAAATGTATTTCACTGTGTTAAGTATACATGTACATGTCTTTAGCCTTCTCTATGATGTGTGTGTCTTCTAAATTATTATTGCAACATTGACTCTGAAAAGCCCTGTGGTGACAAGACAATAAAATACAGATGTATGTATGTACATACATAGCAGCTAGGTATCATTTTGGTGAGCAAAAGCCAATGAACATTTGGATGCCAAGAATTCAATTTGTAGTGACCAATTAATGCAACATATGATCGTATTTTCCATTCTATCTTATCGTTACTAATTTTTAGGTTAAACTTGTTGTTGGTTCTCCCCCTGGCTCCAAGCTCCAAGCAGTTCTTCTTTATTATGCAAATGCTAATAGTAGTGTTTCAGCTTCCAATCTTGAAGGACTTGTTGACTACGCCTAACTCAGCTAAATACCTAGCCTTATACACATTTGAAATTTTAGTACAACTACATCAGGATGCAAAGAAAATCGTTTTCACAGCTTGCCATTTGGGCAAGCTGAAGCTAGCATTTACTAGCCAAGACGTTATTTCAACTAGCCCCAAAATCTTTTTGACTAGCAGAATTGATTTCACAGTTCTTCTGTTATTCGAATTTCTCAAAAAACATCCCTTGCCTGTCGGGCAAGTTAAAAACAGCATTCACAAGCCCAACAGCAAAACCCTCTAGCCCTGGGCTATCAGACACCACTTTCTTTGCACGCTGTACACGTATTTCCCCTATCAATTTTCAGTTTATTGTTGATCTACTTTATCGATAGTTAGCAAGTGTTTAATGTTGATTATCAACTTTATTGATTGCACTCATCAGGCATACACTTTAGTAAACCCATGCAGAGAATAAAGTAAATTCTTGGACGGACACTTCATCCAGCTAGGCATTAAAACTTATTTCACACTCCTTACTCAAACCAAAAGTATAGACACTTGTTACCCTCTGCGTCCACAACGTTATGGAGTACCATACTGCCAATTCAGATTTAACCACACATAAATAAAGTTTAGAGTAACTCAGCTTCTTCGTAGTTAAGCTTACCTTTAAACCAATGCTATCCCCAGGCCTTTCAACCAACTGACAATTTTGTCTTCTCTTCTCTTCCGCAACCACTGGATCGCTAAATTTTCTTCCAATAAGTCGCTTGAATTGGCCCACAGTATTTTTTAAGTTAAAAGTCATCTAAAAGTGAAAAAAAAAAAAAAGATTTACTTTGAGCTTATAATATTTGGTTTGCGTGCACATATGCATGATGTACATCACTACTTGTAATGTTGTAATAACTCACGGAGAAATGCACGAGAACAGCCACAACAAAAACCGATTACCTGATTTTTGGCATCGACTCCCATACTCCTGGTTCTATCTCCAAACGACACAACGGTCCTACCGTGAGAGACATTACAAATTGAGACAGATTAATTGGAAAAGCCCTGTGCAGATTGTTTTATAAGCTTAGGTTAAATTGATTTGTAGCAGTTTTATACCCAAAGCAGAGGCTAATTGCTTCGTATTTTGAAATTGCTTGCTCTGAGTTTTGACAAAAACACAAAAGCATTAATAGCCATTTTAGCCAGGGGCAATAAAGAAAACATATAAGGCTAAAACTATGCAATATATAAGCTTGAACTTAAGCTTAAGTGAAACTCACGGCGTTTTCCTGTCACTGTACTCGTTAACAATCGTCTCGATGCCTCCGCCGCGAGCAACGGCGACGTAGCAGATCTCATTTCCGACGTCAAACCCAACGACAGACATGGTTATTTCTAAAGATCCACTTTAACCAAGCCCTGGAGTGAGTAAATCACTCAAGATAAGGCAAAATCTCCGAGCAGCTTTCTCGAGATGAATTCACGTGGCGGAGAAAGAGAAAAGTAGCCGGTAGTTGCTGTCAGCCATTAAATTTCCATATATGGAATGATTGCGTCACCACATCGTCCCCAGTCTTTCCACCTCAGAAGACGACCAAGGGACGGCCAGAAGGGATGAGATTGTGCAGAAAATGAGAAAAATAATTTGCGAGGCCGGGTCTCCCTCTTATCTCCAGGACTGGATGAGCAGGCCCCTCACTTACTTTAAAAAGATCTGGATCCACTACTGGCAGCTCCTGACCAGTGGTATAAGTGCCTGCGATTTGAGCTCTTCTTCCATTGAAAGGCAGTGCTTTTCTACCACTCCCATCTCACTTTTTACTTACAGGTTCTTAAGTACTTTAAATCCAGGTTCCAAGGGCAACATCTATATGCGAAAAGTTTGTTTCCGAGAACAATCAATGCCGATTGTAAAGCTCTTCCGCCAGACATTAAGAGGATAGAGACTTTAGGCTATTAAATTTTCAAGCGTACTGTTAGGGACGATAGTTAATTTTCATAATTAAGTCATTAACTAATTAATTTATTTATTTGGTTGTTTTCGGCGCAATGGGTAACCTTTGTCAAGTATTCGTAGATGCATGCAGATTTAGATATGTAGAAATTGCAATGAGGGATTTTCTGGCTAGCTATTCTTGTGCATTACTCACACTGGATCAATGTTCCGATCAACTTACCGTACAATACACAGATTAAAACGTTTATAGAGGCTCGTTATATCGAGGTTCCATTGAATTCAAGTCAAGTCAAGTCAACTTTGTTTAGGAAGAGTGGCCCTATCAGCCATTGGCTGGTATCAAAAGGCGTCCTGCGGACTGTTACGACTACACGATAAAAATTCAAAAATTCAAAATTACTTTAAAATGAAGTGAAAGGATTTTAAAAAGTGAATAAAAGGGAAATCACATATCTTCATGAAAATCACAATTTGTTTAAGACTAAGACAAAAAAGAGAGCTATCGAAATTACCTAAGTATTTATTTAAATATTAATAAGAAAAACTAATGGCTAAAATGAAATCTAAGAAAGTTCTTAAAAATGGAGAAAGCGACGTGGTTTCTTTTATTTATGTGGGTAAATTATTAAAAACAACCGCACCTGAAAATCTAAATGTGTTTTTTTCTAGTTTAGGGTTCGGTAGATGAGTATCGTTCCTTTGTTTTGTCTTGTAAGTGTAATAGTGCGATTTCTGCCAAACCGTGAAATTATTTAGATAGTCCATTACACCCCTTACTCGTTAGACTGCTGTCAAGCTGCATTTTCAATTCCTTTTACACATGGCTTCGGAGTACTTTCCTTGGGGTGCAGTATCATTCACTCCCTTCCGTCACCGTAACAAGTAATCATGATATTCCGAGGGCGGGGTCATGCCAGGAGGGGTCATGCTCATTTATGGAGAGTTAGACCAATTGTCTCATTGAGGTTCTTATTCACGAACCCATAAACAGGGACAGCCGAAAACAATCTAACCGTTCCTTCAAAGACCCTTTAAACTCAAAATGCTATAGAAGCGAAACTCAGGAGTCACACCATTATTTACTATTGTTTATCCCATTAATAACTCCAGCTTTTTTTCTTGTTATTCTTAACTTCCACTCAAATAGACATCTTCATATTCTCTGCTGAAGAGAGGAGTAGGACGAACAGCTGAACAGGGCCAGAAATCATGAGCTTTTAAGGAATCCTAAATCTCGCAATCCTCCAGTGCATTAAGCTCTCAATTCTTTGTGAGAAACGGAACATTTTCGATAACTTTCTAGAAAGTCCTAGAATGTTTATCATCTCTTGAAGACCTTTGTATTAAAAAGTGCAGTGTACACTCTCTAACAGTCTTTATGTCGATGAAACTTGAATTAAAAACTAATGTGGGGCCCCTGGCCCTCCAGATCCTATTTAAATCCGCCACTGCTCTTTTCTGGCCTCTATTGATGGCCAATTCATAATTAAGGAATACGGTAAACGAGCTTCACTTGTATAATAGCTTTTGACAAAGCGAGCTGAATGTCTTTGGATATTTTCTTCGGGTTTTTATATCTTTAACTATAGATGGGCTTCCTACGCATATTCCAAGCGTGGACGAACTATAAGCGGCTCCGGACATCAGATTATAAATTGTATATTACGAAAAATTCCTTCATGAGAAACTAAAAAAGGCGACTTACCCTACTCACCGCGGTTATTTTATCGATATTACCGGTATATCCCCAACTCGGATGAGACTGTAATTCGATACCCAAAAGGGGTTGATTGTCTACTGACTCAAGTCCTATCGCTATCAGGGTGTTTTTGTTGTTTACATCATACTTTTTCATAAGTTCATACAAGAGAGAACGAGCTAGATTCTCTCTTGATTCACAAAGGAGACAAAGATTCCTTTGTTAGCTGCGTTCATCTTCCGCACAGTCACCAATTCTGTAGAGTATAGAAGACAATTAGCTAGTAGGGGAACCAAGATATTACCCCGGGGGACCCAATACCTAACTTCGCAGCATGCTGAGGCCACGCCTTCAGGTATGACACTTTGGGTACAAGCCACTCTCGTATCTGAATGACCTAAAGTTCCGGCTACACCGTAGTGAAAAGAGCTTGGCCAGATGAAGTTGCTGGTTCATATACGGTATCAAAAGCTTTAACTTACGGAAATCTATAATTAGTACATCTACATTCTGACGATCATCCCTCCATTTATCGATCTCATCAACATTTGAAATCAGCTGCGTCTCACATGATCGACCTTTTCTGAATTAAACAATGTTAGGAGAGAATTCGACCAAGATATCATGGGTCTCACAGCCCTGCATGAGATAATGCGCTTGACGATGAGTGTTTTCTAGGACTTAAAGCAAACAGAAGTGAGTGATACAGGTAGATAATTTGCAGGATTAACAAGTAGATCGACTTTCTTGTGAAATGCTGCTTTATTTGTTGAACGCCAGGTTTGAGGGACTGCACCAATATGAAAAGATGTTATTTAGATAACTTGGAAAATGGGTGCTATTTCGGTTGCCGCTGCCTTTAGTACTCTAACGTCATGTAACATAATCAGGCCATTTGTCTCTTGAGGTTCAACTTGTTCACTACATAGATTTTGGTACCCTGATGTTGAAATTTGCAGTTTTGTAATAGTCACTCAAAGTCTGGTCAGATTTACACCCTGAATTAGCACGATCGGCGTCGCTGTACGTTGAATTCTGTTCAGTCATGTCATGACTGTAGCCAGGTTTTTTTACGGGACGGTGCGATGCAAGGAAGAGGCGGACCAAACTAGACAGAAGGGGCAAGTCTGTAAGGGAGGGGGGGGGAACTAGGTTTATCATTATCTGTTAGACGGTGAATGTTCATAAGATCCAGTGAAGAAAGCATCTCTTGTGCCCCGAGTATTACTTTTTGCCACAGAAAACGGCAGATATTTTAAACTCATTGCTCAAAGACAAAAGACTACTCTAAAAACGAACAATGCATATCTTCATCTCCTTCAAGCACTAGTGGATCCGAGATCCACCCTTGTAATTGGCTGTTTAACAGGCAATTCGAAAACGAGAACAATTCCCAATGGCTGAAAAGGCCCGATAAATGCGTCCAGTCAGAAACTGTTCAACCGCTCTCACCACAAAACTAAAACAAAGTTAAAAGTAGCGTTTCTCCCTGGGTAGCAACTGTCACGGCAATAACTACAAATGGAGGAATAATAACATGATCGGGCTCCAGTCTTAAGATTCGCGTTATTGTGACTTACATGACTGAAAGGGCTTGGGGTTGACTGATGCATGCAACACTACCAGAGTGGGGTAGTTTTGATAGGAAGATCAAAATCCTGCAAGCAACGCAAAAAAGCAGAGTCTAGCACGTCAAAACTATAGCAGGGAATCACATACCCTGTCACACTGTTAAAATAACAATTCAGATTCAACACTTTGCATAAAAGGATGGAACCAAACAGCGAAGGTTGTTGGGCCGCTTTTAAAAATATATTAGAAAGGAAAATCCTACCTGACCTACAGCTAGCGATCAGAGGTCCATTTATGATAGAGCAAAGATAGGAAACTACAGGAAATCACTGTGCAGTACAAGACCACATGACCTCTCAATGAGAAAAATATTTGCTAAATCCACACCACGAATCCTCCAAAACAGACTTAAAGTGCCCATAACCTAAAAAATTTTCTTTTCTTAACTGAAAGTACACGTTGAAAGAAGAACTTCTGCGAAAGAATTTTGCGATTTGAACAAAACATGATTTTTTTATGATTTTTTAAAGTCTTCGAAATTTGCCGCCATTTTGGTCCACCATTCGTATTAGTCTCCTCTCGGCCGGATAGTATCCGTGACGTATGATGACGTAGCTTCAGGAACTTGTATCAGTTCGGCCTGTTACATCTCTTCTTCCCAAGCCGAGATTTATAATGCCTGAGAGATGCGTTGCAGCGCGTTGTGGCAACGTAAAGGACCCAGCTAGGAATATATCCATGCATAAAATTCCATTCTTCGGCGACGTGTGTCCGATTAAAAAGAAAAGGCGAAAGAAGTGGGTCGACTTCGTATTGGAGAGGAGGAAGATGTGGGTGCCGGGGAAGACCTCCTCGTTGTGTTCCGTTCACTTTGCTCCAGACGACTTTCAAAGGCCGTTAAACAAAGAAGTCAACTTAAAGCGGGATTTAAAGAAAGATGAAATTGGGGTTTGTGTTTTCCCATCAATACACGCTAAACGGAAAGGAGAAGATGACGAGCCGCCATCTAAAAAGAGAAGGGAAGCGCGAATGGTAAGAAAGTATTGTCACACCTGCTCGAGACATTTCATGTGATTTTTCTTTCTGTGATTAATAATTGGTCCCCGTACCATGAAAGTTAAAGAAAACACAATTGTTTTGCTGTTTTTCACAGATTGCTAGATCTGCGAAGGCTCGCCTCAAAACACTGCAAGAACCAGAAGCGACAAACATTGTTTATCCTTCCACAGGCATTCAGGCGGTAAGAATTTCAACTGCAGGGTATACTTGGGTGTGCTTGTGTAAGCTCTTATGTTGTGTACTATTGAATATTTGCAGGCACAAACCGTACAAGCTGAAAACTCACAAGATATCCAGATGAACCCCTCTACAAGTAGTCAATCGGAGGAGGTTAGATGCTGTGTAATCTTTTATAGTTTGAGTGCAATGGATGGTCATGACTAATTCCTTGTCAATTAATAACTTGTTATTGATATTCCTGATTAGGACATTACTAGTAGTAGTACGACTGAAATCCAAAGCAACGCTTACCAAAGAAAATCCTGTGATCAGAGGTTCATATCCTTTGGTAAACACTGGGGTGAATGATGCAAGATTAGTATAGCGGCAAAAAAGATGAGTGATTGATGTCTGATGTGAAACTTTAAAAAATTATTGTCATTGGTTTTCACAGGGCCAACATGGGACATGTAATGGTGGCTTTCAAGAGGAATCTGGATTGGAGCCTGAAGCTACATGTAGCACGAACATGGTACATTCCTTACTGCAAAGAAATATTCATTTACAGTCATGTAACTTTCCATTTCATTATGCTACCAGATCATGATGGAAGTGACCAATTTGGTTTTGTTTTTTTTTGTAGATAAACGAAGACTTTTGTTATGTCCAAGATGCAGAAGAGAGCGAACCTTTTACACAAGTGGTATGTATCCAGTTTTGTAATTATAAACATAATAATAATAATGATTAGATGTTGATGATGATGATAGTAATAATGATAATAATAATAATGATAATAATAATAATAATAGTGTTCATTTCTTTCTTACAGGATGATATTCTTGGTATTTATTTTAAAAGATAAACCATAGTTTTTTTAATTTTATAATGCAGGATAAATCAACACAGACACTGGCAGATCAGAGATGTAGTATCCTCAGCCATGAAATGGAACTTTTAAAAGGCCAGCTTAGTGCAGTGCGACAATCCCTGAAGACATCAAAAGACAAAAAAAGGCAGTTAAAGCATAAAGGTAAGCTTCAGCCATGTGATGCCCTATTTACATGTATGTGTTATTTGTATGATCACATAATCTTAGAGATTTAATTTTGAGGTTTTTGTTCCTCAAACCTATTCTTTGCTGAGGGAATTTTATTTTTATAATTATTATTATTGACATCCACACTTTTTTTATTAGTTGAGTTGTTGACTCGAAAACTTCAGGAGGCTGCAAACAATGGGTTAGAAGAAAATGTAAAGAGTAAGGAGTCTTGTGACACTAGCAACCAAGATACATGTATCAGTGAAGAAAAAGATATTGAAGAAGAGGATGACACTGAAATGATAGAGGAAGAACCTGACTTTTCCAGTGATGCAGAGTTCTTTAGTGAAAGCGGAGGGGATACAGAAACAGAGGATGAAGACAAGGAAACAAATGACAGGAGGTAAAAATAATAAGAATTTTTACAGATTATAACTAAACCTTATATAGTCTCAAAAAAATTTTTTGCGGCCCTTCAGCCCTCAGTTTTGTCTAAAAAATAGAGTAAAATTTTAATGTTAGATAGATTTTATATTTAATTTATTGCTATTGAAGTTTTTTAGTAATTTTTTAATATACACTCTGGAAACATGTGTTTTTGTCTTATTTACTGTCTAGACTATGTGGGAGAACTCTTCCAGTTTTTTATGACATTGAGCAAACAACAGCTGCAGGATGCATGCATTGAGTTGAAGAACATGGTTCCAGATCCAATGAATACCATGCTTGAGAAACAACCCAGGGAAGAGGCCATTAGGAAGCGGACAGAGAGGATGAGAATGTTTGCAAAGGATGTACCTCCCACGGCACCAGGTTTGTTTACTGTTAATTTTCCAGGCTTCACTATTCCGAGCCGAGGTGAGATGGCTCACCAAAACTTATAACAATCTCTGTGCCCTGTAACATGTCTAAACTAGTATCTTAGTAGTTCTTAGTCAAATGATGACAAAGCACTACTAGGAGGCATTTTAGGGATGACAGGAACTCGTGAAATAATAATGACCTCTGAATTATGACAGCAACTTCATTTCTTTATTGCAGCACGAGATCCGACATCAAGGGAAAGAAGACAACAGCCTTCTAGAGCACTGCCACGATGTTCTATCTGCAAGAACCCTATGAGGGGCCATAATTCTATCACTGATTGTCCAAGAAATAGGAAGGATTGACTTGCAATGTAAAAGAAAGAAAACAATGAAAACCTATGAGTGTCTACAACATGAAATTTTGAGACTTAAGAAAAATCTAGAAGCCTTTTTACATTTGCCATATATTGGTGCTTTTACTTAGGTTTTAATGACATTTTGCACATTAATATAAGATAAATGAGGTGGAATGTTTGTATTCCATTCTAGTTAATAGCATTCTTTCAAAATTAAGTCACTGATTGTTTCTTTGCGATGAAAATGGTGCATTTCAAAACAGTGACTGAATATTGTGTCTAAAACAACTAGAAGTTGACTCAATAATATTTTGATATATTAATATTCATACCTGAATAAAACAAATTAATATAATATTTGAATCAGTTATACCTAACCTCACAGTGATTTATTTTGTTTAATTTACCCACACAGCCAGGTCTGAATTATTGCTAAGGCACGTTGACAAAATTATAAAAAAATGGTTTCTTTTGGAGAAAGGTCATTTTATCACATGGATGTCAAATTTGCTCTGTATAATTGTTTACAACAATTTTTTTCTTGTTTATTGTCCCTCAAGCAGCCAAGTATAAGTTATGTAGGAGGTAGAACCCTGGTAACTGGAACTCTAAAGGGAAAAGGAAGCCGGGGTTCGAGTTATCGGGGTCAATTGGGTAAATTTTGATCAAGGACAACAAAGTTTAGTGTAAAGTTTATCAGAGTTTGAGTTACCGGGGTTCTACTGTATATTTATTACAAAAAGCACAAAATGGTTGAATAAAATTTCAAAAGGAGAGAAGTTCACTACTAATCACAGTCACAAGAAATTGGTAGTGTTATTTTTATATGAAAAAAGTTTTTTTTTGTTGCAAAAGGAAGTAAGGATCTGGTCATCTATTCTTCGTCTAATTGAAATCCTGTCATTGGTTCCTCCTCTTTGCTGGGGAATGCTTTCCGAATCGCAGTGTAGGCACAGGCAGGAAGAGGGATCCTTCTTTTTCCCAAGTATCCATGAACAAGTCGGGTAAATTCCCTGTATGCAATCGATCTGAGATATCTAAAAAAGACAATAAAATAACAACCCAATATGAATATAGTTTACAAAGAACCAAATCAAGGGTTCTAGACTGGCAGGATCCCTTTCTAATTCATGAGAGAGAAAGAAGACGAATAATTTATTATTGGTGGTATTTTTCAGAAACCTCTTGTGTATAGGGGTATGTTATACTCAAACCAAATCAGGAACAAGTTGTTCTATTGGCAAATGTGAATAATATTTTCCAAACTTTGAAACTTGAACAAAACAGCCTGTTCCTGTTTTATTATTGATATTGAACAAATTGAAAAATACTTCATAAATATACAATCAAGTTAAAATTATTTTTGAGAAATCAGTTTCACCTTTCTTCTGATCCAGTCTTCTTGTAGTATTCTCTTGCTTTTGTTCGATATTTCCCACCTGCCAACCGCAGACTCCATTTTTTCTAGGCAGACTGGGCTGAAACCGGGATGTTCTGTTACACAGCATAACTCTTGGCCCTCCTCAAGATCTTCCAGGACAATTTCACTTGTCAGGGACTCGACACATCCTTCAAGTTCTTTACAACAATAACATTCGCTTATATTCGTAAGCAAATCGCGCTCACATTTTCCACAAGTACACCTACGTTTGAAACAAAACGTTCAGAAAGTTACACGAAATGCTGATGATTTCCACAGTACAATGTAATCGACTTAGACATACAAACATTCAAGGCAACTGCAAGTGCTTGTATGTAAAATCAACTTACCAGTCAGCAACACGCACGCTGTTATTAAGACGCTTCGTCAGCTCTTTCTCCAATTCTGCGTTTTCCGCCTGCTCTCGCCTGTAGTTTTCGAGCCATTCTTCGTCCGCCAAAGGCTCGTCCGCGTACGGTTCGAGCGAATCATCTTCAAATCGATTGCTCGCTCCATCTGTTCCTTCTATCTCGATTTTTTCGTCCTCACTGCCAAATTGTGAGCTTTCTGTTTCAGAAAGACTGTCTTCTATCGACGACATTTCGGTGAAGATCTCAATGTTTGCCTTTCGTTTGTGTACGATCCGACAAGTGAGGTTCCTGAAGCTACGTCACATATGAGCCGGTCAGTTGTCATGGTCAGCTGAACGGGCCCGCCACAGAAATGTAGACTTCAAAAAATCGTAAAAAAATCACGTTTTGTTCAAATCGCAAAATTTTTTCGCAGAAATTCCTCTCTTAATATGTACTTTCAGATAAAAAAATAAAATTTTTTAGGTTATGGGCACTTTAAGGACAAAATGAAGGAGCAAGTGACGTATTAGCAAGGGGTAAATGCCTTGTAGGTATATACCAAATCCCCTCTTTTATAGTTTACTCTCAACGCTAAAACACGTTTTGTGGAAAGGGTGAGTCAGGCTTATGCGTTCTTATTCGCAGTATTATCAATTTTATTACACAATCAGTGAATTAGAATAGAACAATACTCTAAATGCACTTTGTTTTAATTCTTGAGCAACTAAAAAGTAGACCCCTCGAACCTGAGGGAGGGCGGGGGATGCGAGCGCACCCGTCGCACCCCCCTCCCTACGGGTCCGCATGTTTACCAACTTTCACTTCTGATACTTCACCACAATTCAACTCACTGGATGAAAGGTCTGGGGCAAATACCAATTCCTACGCTTCCTTGTTAAGCACATTTAATCACGTTTCGTACTTGAGAAACTGTAGGGAAGTGTAAACGATGTATTGTCTTCGAATATTGTTTCCCCTTCTCTCCTGTTTCAAAGGTAATTTCAACAAGTTGCAGGTTTTCTGCCCAACACTTCAGAAAGAGACAATTTTTTCGACTGTTTTTTTGGTTGAGGGCGGGTGGGGGGTGGGGGGGGGGAGGGTTGGGCAACTACCCCTTTGCCCCTCCGCTACCTACGGCCATGTCCTAAAATAACGGTGATGTATACTGCGACAAAAACTCCACAGCCACCTGTCTTTGGTCGTTCCTTCCTAGTCATTTGAGAGTTTTATGGAAATAATTCAGGCCCTTCACTGTTCCAACTGATTGCCTGAAATAAGGTTGAAAGGTGCAGTGAGGACTCTTATAACATTTGCTTAATTAACCTGCGATCAGGTAGCCCCTCTTCCCTTTTTGTAAAAGAACACCTGATCTCAGAAATGTAGAGGCTGCGCTCACTGCCATTTGACACTCCATTGCTGTCGTACATGATATCATTTTTCCGACGTCACGCGATGAAGTACACTTGAGACTGACATATGCTCCGTGTTTAATTTACTGCGTCCTTAAAACATGTGTGTAAAAAATCAAAGAACAACCGGATCAGTCAAATTCTAAACTGTAATCTGTTAACTTGAGGTCTCAAAAGGTGAGTGTTGTCATGATATCATGTAGCAAAACAGTAATCCACCTTAGCCTCATCAACTGGTTGGCACGGGCGACGTTACGACAGTAAAGACGTTGGAAGGGCAAATCACTGAAATTGTAAACTCATTTGTCGCCTACCTAATGAGTTAAGCAAATGAGAGCCATAATCAAAACGTTTGCTTTTAAAATCGTCAAGTTTGTTTGCGGTAGGGCTCGGTAAGTCGTAGACAGTAATAGCTAAACACCATTTTTCGGTAGTTGCATGAATGAGCGCGCATTTGGCTCGAAGATGATTTCACATTTTTGTTTGCTCGAATTGTGCGAATAGCACAAATGTTTTCTGTCTTACCTCCTAACGTGCTATCAAATGGTCCCACATTATGATATTGGGCTCACTATTCTAATAACTTTATGAATGAACTAAACGTTACAGTTGTATGCGCTGTCTCGAGGTACGGTATATCACTCAAGTTTTACAATTCTTTCTTGTTGATTGACTTGATATTAGTGATCGGTAGTGGGATCGGATATACAGTAGTTAATCTCTCCCGTTCAAACCTTGGCAGCGGCTTCCAACGCTGGTTCAAGATTGTTAATGATTTCAAGTATCTAATCAAAACAAGCCTAAAAGCGGAGGCGTAAGCTAGGCGTAGCCATCTCTATACGTACTCCAGTACGCAAGGGCCGCGTTCCTGAAAAAATGTCGAAGATAACTGACAGAGAGAGCACAGCGCAGAAAAACGATGCGGTTGTCAAGGTAACTCCGCTTTCATCTCCCTTCAAATGACTTTTCCGAAATGAGGAATGCTTTCTTTTCCCGGTAGCTTGCGTAAAATGGCGGTTTTGTCGGGCTCACTACTGAGCGGCGAAGCCGCGAGTTTTTCGTTCCTCCCGCCCCAATCTCCTCGCAGTTCACTGCCCTTGTACACCTTCGTCCACCTTAGCTTGTTTGCACGCCCGACCAAACCATCAGAGTCTTCTTTCAGTGGATGCTTGCAATTCACGCGCAGGCATTCCGATCCCTTACCTTAGCTCGCGCGTTCCAATATAGGCGTGGTAGCGAGAAGTTTGCTGTTTACGAAGGGGACTAGATGGCAACAATAGTACAAAGCCGAGAAGAATGGATGAGTGAAGACCATTCAAATGCTCGAGCGTTTTACTTTGCAGTTGCAGGTAGTGACTCACGGGTTGGGTGGATCGTGGCGCTTGTATGTCTCACTCTCTAAAACGAACACCTTCCCACTCCTGACTTCGCGCTTCGTGCCCACAGGCATGCGCAACGACCGCAAAGGAACGCTTGTTACGAGGCTAGAGCTAGACCCAAAAATTGTAACGGACTCCTAAAAAAACGTGAAAATTACATCGATCAGCTTACCGGCCTCGTTACCCAGACAGCTCCGCATGGCAAGTGACTGACTTGAGCTACCTTAATGAACTATCTATTTGATTTCTATGCTTTTTGACCTCTGATTTTGCTCCTCAATTGTTTTACTTAGGCCCACAATTTAATAGATCCCAAGAACTGCCTTCAATGACCGACCATTTTGGAGAAAAACGTAAACAGCGAGTCTTAGTAATAATTACTAATTAAAAATGAGTGGCCTTAGCTAATCATCTCTAGGCATTTATAAGAAAGACGACAACTTAGTCTTATTGAGTCTAGTTGCAATTTACAGCCGCAAAAAGGTTGAAAATCTAAAGTTTTGGGTACTAACTCTGTCAGTGCGAAGGGTCAGCACATGGAAACTGAGGCGGATTTAAGTGAAATTGATAGACGACGCAGCACAGTCAGTTTCTTTTGAAAATAGGGGCCTTCTCATTTTTTTAGGAACGGGCTATCAATGGTAAAATCAAGCACTGAAAACTTGCAAAGCCAAAGAGAGAAAAACGCCCAATACACCTTGTATTGGTATAATTGTGGCTATTTTACTAATTGTAGTAAGACGGACTCTGATTGTAGTTTTAACGTAAAATCAGTTTCCAAAGCTTGCGTGACCTGGATTCACTTCTTCTAACTACACGCGATGAGGCCATTATACTTATTCTACAAAGGGTGTCACCTCATTGGCAATTGGACCGTGATTACATCTGTTCTGCCAGTTTCGAAGGCACAAAACGTAGGATCTTAATAATAATGTCTGTCATTGCTCTTTCTAGAATCAAATGAGGTGATTCCAGCAAACGAATGTTCTATTGCATCCTGCGTGTAACTTTAAAAGCTGCGCTCGGCGATGCGTTTTATGGTTTAAACCTATGATTTAGACCCCACAATTCTGAAGCATTGTCTTGATTGTTCGAGTAAAACAATAGATATTTACATAAAAACGTGTAAAAACTCTTAACACGCACTGAAACTGACCAGAGCCTGACAACCAATAGTAGGTTAAAATCAATTTTAAAAGTTAGTTATTAAACATAAGTTTGGTTTTTTAAAATATGGTTGTTCTTGACAATCTGTTGCTGAATGCTAGACTGAACTAATTTTCCACTCTATTCAGTTCCCGCAGTAACTGACAGATAAATAGGTGATTTTATCACGCTGGTTTCGTCACTTAGGTCTCTCCTGGTTATTTGCATATGAAAGACTGCTCTTGAAGACTAGTGAAGCACGGTAGCCTGTTTGTATCCGCACTTTGCCAGTCAACAGCAATGGCTTCAGGATCATTTGCGCGCGTGCCGCAAAAAGACAATCGCGCTCTCTCTGCACGAGAACTCAGAGAAAAGTACAACGGTTACATCAAGGCTGATCCTGCTCTTGTTGAATCCAGACGGTGGATTGAGGTGAGCAAAGGCTTTTAGCTGTAATAATGATTATGTTTTGTTCTTTACCTGTCGCACTGTTGTTAATCATCTTTACACTATATCTTAATTTCTGATCTTTAAGGCAGATTTTTGTTCCTGTGATTTTTAGGAGGTAACCAAGAAAAGATTTAAAAGCGATGACTTTCGTGAATCTTTGGCTGATGGTATTCTGCTTTGCGAGTAAGTATAAAACCTGATTGCAAATCACGAAATCCCAATCAATCCGTTTGCAATATTTCATGGGGTTAGGATCATAATTATTGCCTCGTTGTCATACACTTAACGACTATCTGCGGTTTATATCGGGTTTGAGTTGACTCGGAAACTCCACCGAAAGTTACCCGCGTTATTTGCCCGCTTTCTTTATATGGACTTTAGCCCTTTCAATTTAGTAACCTTCAATAACTGCAAGTCAGTCGCGCCGGGTAAAAATGATTCATATATTTCCATTTTATCGGATGCCCTGTTCTTACTTGAAAACGCGATCAACTGTGACGCGCGACAGCCTCCTCTTAAGTTGGCCAAATTTTACTGATAGAATGCCTTGAAAGAAAAAAACTCTTAATTCTGTTCGGAGAAATCAGTAAGTTGTAGCTTTAAGCTAAAGAAACTTTAGTGCAGGATGATTTCTAGAGATACTCAGGTGTAATGATTCCGGCCTACCTCGTACTAAGACCATCGATCACAGCTCATAATCTGTTTACGTTATCTAACAAATCCAATTCACTAACAAAAACAAATTAGTGCTAAAAGAAGGCTCTTTAAGAGACACATTGCTGTGTTAATGTTCAAATATTAAGTTTAGTAAGTTTTTCAGCAAGAGCGAGCATTTGTATGGGTGATTTATCAAACAAATCATTGGTCGAATTTATTTAGTAGGAACGTTTCTCGATCTGTGCTCTCTCCATGGTATTCAATATATTCCCTGTTTATTGAGGCTCTTCTCTTGTCATACACCTCTTTCTGAGTAGCGGAGTAGAATTTCATCCAAATTTGAATATAAAGAGATTACCGTATTTATTCGAATAAGCGCCCAACCTCGAATTAGCGCCCACCTCGAATAAGCGCCCATCCTAAAGGCAGAAAAAGTTAATAAGCGCCCAGCCTCGAATAAGCGCCCACCCCCTCCTCCTCCCAATCAAACTCAAATAAGCGCTCACCCCCACCCCACCCACTTGAGTGAATAAATTTTAATGAGAGACTTCCCCGAGGACGGAGTTTTCTTCAGAGTATTTTACAGAAGCCTTGCTTTGTTACTTCTTCGCGTTTTGTTATTAGCATTTATTGTTTTGTTGCAAAATAAACATACTTCACTTGCTGAAAATGGTGAAAATTTAATAAGCGCCCAGCCTCGAATAAGCGCCCACCTCGAATAAACGCCCACTCTCAAGGTCCAAAAATTTAATAAGCGCCCAGGGCGGTTAATCGAATAAATACGGTAAGTAGGCAATAACTGCTTCGTCTAATTATACGGATGGAAAGCGGACAGCTTTTCCCATCCAAACTGACAGTTTCGTACAAAGTCATCCTTAAATTAAGCCATCTCATTAAAAGATTTTTGCAAGAATCATGAGTTATTGTGATGGAGGCAAATAAAGGGTAGATAGATAACATCAATGCTAAGTGAAAAAGAGTGGCCATTGGGGACATCAACAATGAATTATAATAAAATCGTAAAAAAGAAATTAAAATCAAGAGGGAAAACAAAATGGAGGAGCTAAGCCAATAAGTTAAGTCAGAAGGAAGGAGAATAATTTTAAGAAAAAATATATGTTCACCAAATGAAGTTAACACACTATTTTCGTATAGGTATTACTGAGGATATGTAGGTATTGATTTACTGTGAGTTAGTCTTTTCATTTCCGCTTTTTCTGGCTTTACAGGTTGATCGAGATCGTTGGAGACGTATCTCTTGGACGTATAAATCGCATTTCTACTGCTTATGCCGGCATTGTAAGTTTGATTTTATTTCTGCATGGTCAGACGTTAAACGATATTTCATAACAAAGATAAAGGTTACGAAGGAAGATGCAGGGTGGTGGTGAGACAAGCGTTGCTAGACAATTTTTATTATTTTAAACCTTCAGGGAAGACGATTTGAGATCTAGAACTTTCGGAACATTTGTTGTAAAATTTCTTGTTTGCCTGCCTCTCTTAGGATTCTCGAACATCTAAAAAATGGTATAATTACCCATTTTTAACGGATTTGTACCCTAAAAAGGTCACCTAGAATTTTCGGGAGCCTTTTTTCTGGCTGAAATTTTCGAAAAGGTAAGTTTTGATCCCTATAATTTTCGGGATCACTAGACTTTCAGGTAGAAAATCCGAACAGATGAAAAATTTTAAGAGAATAAAAATATGCCTATATCTACCGTCTAAATACTAAAATACGTTTAACAATGCTATGTTTAAGTGGTTTTGAACTATATCTTCGTTGGGTGCCCCTGAACCTTCGTCGCTTATCTTCTCTGCTAAATAACACCCTGTAAGGAATATGACTTACTGTACGTACTTCATTATGGGACTTACTACGTCCAATAAGACGAAAAGAACCCAAAATACTGTTCGAACCGCTACTAGAGGACTTAGACCGCGGCGGTTGGTGTGGTTGAGTGGATAATTTAGTCTATTTCAATTTTACAGAGTTATTAGAATATGATATGATTCTCTGTAAATCCCGAAACTGAACATAAAATTTATATATGCAAGTCCGACTGGAACGCAATACTGCTTCATACCTTGTCACCGTGTTGATAAACATCATAAGCAGATTTTTGGCCCCATGTAAAGTAATCCAGGACAGTCTTGGAATGGATTCCACGCCGTGGATTCTGGATTCCAGGTACTGGATTACAGTGTTTGTCAGTGGATTCTGGATTCTGGATTCTGGATTCTAATCGTTAGCGGGATTCTGGACTCCTTGAGCTGTATTCTAAAGTCCAGGATTCCGGATTCCACAAGCAAAATTTTCCTGGATTCCAGATTCTACAATCCCTAATTCCTGAATCTGGATTCCCTCACATTTAGCGAAGATTTTAGAATTTTTTTTCTAAAGCAAGAAATCAAACCTGCCGCGACAATACAAATCGTTTCACGTTCATCCCTTCAGCGGCAACATCTGTGTTATTTCGGCCACTTGTGGACCTTTATCCTCTCCTGTTCTGACCTATTCTCTAATTAACAGACAACGATGATGTTCAGGTGGCAATCGAACCAGCCCGCAAAAGTTCCTTTGAGCTTAGGATGGGCCATTTTCTAAACAATCAAGGCCCTAGCACTGGCTTCGCGAACAGGCTGACATTACATACGAAATAAGACTGACTTATTAACAAGGTTAAATTGTATTTCTAGTTATCGTGTTTTTGCCTACGACAGGGTTAATAGTTCCTCTCTTTTCCTCGACAGGACAACCTTAACTTGTTCTTCAAAGCATGCGAGGGTTTGGGCCTAAAAAAACTTCATCTTTTTGATGTAGCTGACCTACAAGAAGTAACAACGCGGCGCGGTGATTCAATGTAAGTAACGTTGTTGGCTTATTGGAACACCTTATTTTTCAGATATTTAACTCATCATTTAATTTCTAAATCCCGCTGAGATTTTTGATTGGGGCTCTTGGTTACGCTTTTCATCATTGTAGCCGTTATGTTTGATAAATCTTTGGTAATTGTTTAAATGTTTTTAATGGGAAAAGATTTGGGAGTTTGCTAAAATTATGACTAAGAGAGAATTTTCAATGTCAAAATTAAAAAATAAATAAATAAAAGCAATAATTTTGAAAAAAAGACGAAGCTAATCACACCTTCAAGGTAAGGTGCCTCTGTGCGCGTCAGCTTGTAGGCCACGAACTGTCGTCTTTCTTTCCTCAGAGCCACGCGCGCGGCGTGTGAAAAAAAAAAAAAATGCAAATTTTAGGTAAAAAGGAGGAGAGATTGGGAATTTTTTCTTCACTCGGGCTTCCGCCCTCGTTCATGGCGGCTTGGCCGCTCCGCTCGCCCCTCACGGGTGCCTTGATCTACCGCTCAACTCAAAAGAAAAAAGAGACTACTCGCAGTCCAGTCAGCTTGCTAACTTGTCTATATATTGTTAAGACCATTCTATCGTGTTTCAATCATTCTGACCATTATCAGTTCACGTGCACCCTATCAAACATTTTTATCGTTCTTGAAATATAGTCTCTTACGCGGAAGGCTTAAATAAAATGAAGGGTCAAGTTAGAGTCCATTTTCCGCGTTCTAGCCATTCCGCTGTCAAAACGTAAATTATCAGAGCTTTAAGCTATTTCTAGCAACTAGTTTATTGGCATATTAGGCTTTTTTCTTCCTGTACAAAAACAGTGTCCGTTTCACAGAGTCACGTTTTCAAAACAAGCGAACGTGCTTTTTAGACATACAGTTGTCAGGTGATGGACTTATGAAAGGCTTATGAAAGACCTCATAGAAGAAGGTTAACCGTTTTGAATCGGCGCATGCAACTTAAAGGCTCTATGTTATTCTGCTTTCTTTTCAAAAAGCTAAAACCTGTCTTTGTATCAACTGAATTTCAAAAATAATGGTCCTGTTTTGTTATTTAGACCACTTTGTTAGTTTCTTGTCGTTTGTTGCCCCATAACTTTGTGTATGGGTAAAAGCTCTAAGTACTGACTCAAAACAAGAGAGGATAAAGCTCTCTTGCAAAATTGACGCAAAACACACCCTCTAATTCTGTCTGTGAAAACACCACCGCTCGAACTTTAATGTTGTGTCTGGTCGAAAAAGCTAGTAAAGACCCTCTCGCATTCGAATTCATGAGCAGTCGGTTTCGTATTTATTTTCGGTAACAAGAAAAGATAATGAAGGCAAATTTTGGGAGCAATTTTTTATTCTTACAACTTTCACACATTCGAATTACTGAACCGCATATCAGTGCTAGCTAAGATTTCTCGATCCTCGATCTCTTTTTATGACAGATGTCCAGGCATTGAAATTCCAGACGTAGTCTAAGACGCGCGCATGGGCAATCATGACGTCATAGTCCGGAGACAAGCCCAACAATCCAAGCAAATTTTACATTCCTTTTCAGTGATCTGTATTTCACGCTTTTCGTCAGGCGAATAAAACAAATACAAAGTAAGTCTGAGAAGCATCAAATATTTCATTAGACTCGTTGTAGGTGTTTGTATTTATCTCACAATACCGGAAACTTTTATTTTTTTTTTGACACGAAAAGAACGAAAGTCGATCACGTTTTTCTCGGAAGTAAAAAAGAACAAAACGGAAGTGACGGTATAAAGCCTTGGTTGTGTTACCAAAATTTAATATGCAGCAACTGATCCTATTCTGCAATCGCTTTTGTTTAAGTGGTCAGTGCGGAATGCGAAATTGTTCCGAGCATTGTTATCGAGGTTGTATTGGATTAAAAACTCTTTGATATTCCGCCTTGTGGCAGCGCATAATTTTCAGTCCTCAGGGATTTGTAAGAGTATAGCGCACAACGTCTTCCAACTTGAGATTCCTCCAAAGAAACGTAGGTTTTATTACTTTCTTTTATTTGCTTACTGCTGGATGTGTGTTTTTGTTCCATCGCCTAACTGTCTGATCGATGTGACACTCACATGTAAATTAAAACACGTAACGCGCGACTTCATTACGCACTAAGCCTTCCAGGTCGATCCAGGGTTTGGTTCGACTAGAATGCATTATTGAAGCTGAGTCAAATCTTTTTCACATGATCGTGATTTCAGATCTTCCAGAGCAAAGGAAACGCAAAGAAGGCTACAGAATGTAAGTAGATATCAAAAATTTAATCTCTATAACGTATTCAATCTTTAAGTACGTCGAATATTCATAATCTTGAACGAAAATCAAATGCTAGCAGCCGTATCGCGTCTTTAAATTTCAAGTTGTCAATGAATTTTCTTAATATTCGTTGATGCAGCTGGTTATCTGATAATCTGGTCGGCCAAAACATATCTTCTCCTTCTTGTCGGTATCTTCATAACAGCAGTAGTCTAGACTTCTCAGATAAGGGATTTACCAGTTTGTAATCATATTGATAATTGAGTCGACATTGCATTTATAGGTAAAAGATCACACATTGGAACCTGCGTAGAGTTCTTTTGGTGCAATGGTCGGAAAAGTTGATTTGCTTGTTTCTCTTCAACAGCGTTCTATTTTAAACAATTTCTTCTTCAGTTTCAACCGTTAGATTTCGCGATTTTATTGGCGCAAGCGGCAGTCGTGAAAACTGAAGAAGAATTATGTAACGCTTTTGATTTATTTGTGCACATATCCGTGTTTACATTTTTCGGTTTGTTGTGATATCTTTTTCAAAAACGTAAAATAAAATACATTTTAATTTGTGCAACGTAAAGAAGCCGCCATGTTGGATTTTTGTTTTGTTTACCGACTGTTACTTGTGCGCGAATTCCTTTGATGCCGAGGCAACCACGCGAAAACGCGGGCTCAATATTGGCACCTGATGGTGTGACGTAAGAGATCTTTCTGATTGGAAAAGTTTTGGCGTACCCACGTCTTTCAGAGTTCTAGGTGGAACAAAAAGCAGCTTAATACTTGTGCGAACAAGTTTTCGAAGTGGTGAACGATTTAAGCCAGACGATAGATTGTAGAAACTGTTGTTAGTGGACCGATTCGGGCCTTTATAAAACCGGGTATAAAAACTAATAGTGTTTATCTACAGTGGGTCAGCACAGTACGGTACAGTGCTACTGCCAAAATACGTTACAAGCAACTCATCCTCCAATGGAATGGGTTTAAATCGCAACGGCTAATGAAAGATCATGGAAACCTTTTCTGCAGTTGTTTCTCTTGGCATGCTATGAACTCTTGTTTTTGGTAAACGGAAACATGCAACTCGTGTGATTTTTTCTACGATTTATGACATACAAAGTTTAATATTTATCAGTAATATTGTCCCAATATTCGTTTTTTTGTTTACCTTTTGCAGGTCGCAATAACAATTCTTTGGTTAGCCAGAGCTGCCAGAAAACGAGGTTATCAGGGTCCATTGCTTGACTCCAGCTGTTTTCATCATTTACTTCCGGTAAGAATTGTGTTTTTTTTTGTGTTGGTCTTTTCCATCGTCCGAAGTTTTCTTAGTCCAGTGCAACAGATCGCCGAATATTCGTCCTTTAAGGCTTACAATAGCTGACCCTATCCAAATCAAGAATTTAAACTAACCACATAATTCGTGAAGGTATCGCGAACGCAGACGCAAGAAGAAACGGAAGTTTTACTTATGTTTGTTGATATTTTATTAATCTGAGAATATCACGTGCCAATACTTTGTGCGAACTTAGATGATGAAAACTAAAACCGTCTATAAGAAGGATTATGTTGGCTTTTACACTGAACGGAAGGAAAACATCACGAAATGATCACTCAGTTGGCTCGCGAATGCAATGACCTGTCATCCATCTCTGGTGATGCGATTTCTTGCGCGTGGGCTCATTATCCCTATAGGGACTGGTAATCAGGCTATGTACAAGAGGGTTAAATTAGTTTTTCATTTTTTTAGTAGTTTTTGCACGTCTCTTCGAATATTTTTGTACTCCACCTACCGAACCTGATCTTCTCGCAAGCGTTTGAGAAATACGTTCATGCTATTACAACCTTGAACTTAGTCCGCAATAGAGTTTCATTCAGTCAATTTTACTCATACAGATTTTAATTAAGTCCTCGTTAGGATATATTCATTTAATAGGTATTCCACAACCCAAGAGTTAACTGTATTGGTCAATATATGGAGATGTTTCGTTGCTAAGGAGCCGATAGTTAACCTTCGTTTTACCTCTGGCAGTTCAAAGAAAGTGGTGTATTTATTTCTTACTCAGGAGGTCAAATTTCAAGGCAAAAAGGAGCGGGGAATTAGGAAAAGACATTCCTCGGGAGAACTGGAATTGAAATCACGTGGTACACAGAATATTCCACCAAAAAAGAGAGATAAAGTATTTGATAAAATCGATATCAAAGACAGAAAAGAGAAATTTCTGAATCTTGAAAACAAAGCAAAAAAGGTAAGCTGGGTGGATCCTATAATTTTAATATACTAAACTAAAGTTCTGTAGGTTACTGGGTACCCTAACAAGAGCCCACAACATAGTAGCCTGATATATGGTAATCATGGCTTTGATGAGTTTTTTTGGACAATTAGTTGACGTTTAAATACATTTGACTTGTAACGTTTGAACTTCGAGCTTCTTGGAGTTTTTATGTTACCGAGTCTTCGCCCTTGGCTTGCATGGTAACGTGTTTTTAATATGCAGTAGTGAACTATCTGTCCGTCTTCCTTTAGATCATCCATGGTGTCCTCATTATTTTTGTTTTATACCGGAAACGGTCAGAAAGTAAATAAAAGACTGAGTAGATTATCGTGATGAGGGTTTCATACGAACCTTATAACCAATCCATTTCATATGACTGCTTCTAGATTAATGTAGCTGGCGCGCACTCGCCTTGTAAATATTCCCGGATGGTGGTATTAATAAGGTATATTGTGTGAACTGAAATGCTTTGTTATCGTGCTTGTTAACACAGGAATCAACCAGTGTAGAGTTGAACCGACGAAGTTCGACTGGAGGGATCTTAAAAAGAATTAGAGATAATCACTGGCAACATTGGGATAAAGAGGACGGGTTACCTACCGACAAAGAACCTGCCATGCCTGATCCAAAGTTTCACGAAAAACAAGAACTATACAACCGACGCGAAAGACAAGCTGCAATGGTAGGTGCTCGAACGTCAGTGGTTAAAATAACAAAAAGTTCGAGGTAACTTTTATCTGCCAGCTCTTATAGAAAGACTTCTAGACTGCTGTTTGCTTCGTCTAGCAGATGAAGGAGTAGAGTGCTCAATCTCCCGGAGTATATAACGAGTTAACTCTTACTTCAGCCACGCAACGCACCGAAAAACTGGCCAGTTATCCTTTGACCACTGTTACGGGCCATATTTACTTTACATTGTTGTTCACTTTCCTCACAGGAGTCGGCAGCGCTGCAAGACAAAACGCGCCGTAAGGGGAGTGGGTCAGAGTATGTGACGTCACCACCTCCAGTATCTCTTGGAAGAAAAGTAGATGTTGACTTGAAGCAAAAGCAGAAAAAGTTTGAAGGACTTGATCGACAAGCTCAGCAGGTTATTGCTAGGGGTTTTTTTTAACGATTTCTCTTGCCAGTCTAAACACAGTAATCGTGGAACGCCAATCAGAGTATTGTTAGTGGCAGTGTGGTACAACAGCTCAATAGCGTTTGGTTTGCATGTTTAACTGTAAATTCGGCCAAATTTTGAAGAAATTAAGCGGCCAAGATTTTTAATCGCAGTCAAAAATCTCTCTAAGGACACTTTCTCCCTCCATATCACGGATTACTTCAGTCCTTTGGTGTGATTACATTTATCAGTCTTTTAATTCATGGACTTAACCCGACTTCAGAGTTCCTTGCTCTAGTAAGAGAGATGCAGCTGTATTATAATTTCACTACCCCGGGAAAAATTTCCTTTACCGGCAACTTATTAATAAGTTTTCGGATATATTTCTAATACTTGGTATTTTTGGGTTGTTTTTTTTTCTCCAGCAATCGGCAGTATTAAGCGGGAAGTCGAGACCAGTTTCCTGGGGACCAAGCGAGATTCGCCCGGCGCTGAAAAAACAAAAGTCCGTTGATGTGGCCTTCAAGGACAAACACAAAGCCTACGAGGAACTTCAACGACAAGCAAATACGGTACGAAATACTCCACAACTATACAAGGAGCATTTGAAGTCACCGCAAGCATCCTTTGCCATAATCGCATTAAGATAATGTCACATATATTTTCGCATTTAAGTATTCATACCCGTTGTTTAACAATACAAAGCGGGTAAAATAAAGTTCACAACCAAGTCTTAAGTACACTGATAAAAATCGTTCGACACATTGTCTTGCTCTTGTCAAGTTAGAACACTCAGAATGAAATTAAATTCAAAATGAAATTCAGAATAAAAGCAACTTGATATATCGTATCATGTCGGTTGATTTTTGAAATATTTTCTCCTTGTATTTTGTTTTGTTTGTTAAAATATTTCCTCGTTTCGAGAATTCCTATGGAATAATAGAAAAATGGAGATTGTCCCTTTTAAACCTTATCTTCGATGGTTTTCACCACAGTCTTGTGCTTAACAGCGAAAACAACACTGAAAACTGTAGATGATTTAAAATAGAATTGCAGGTGTATGCATTAATGATGTAGTTCGCTTATTTGCATGTTAAACAGCCAATTATAAATGTTTGTATTGAGATAAAAATCTTTGCATAATTCCCGTGGGGCCTAATTTCGCTTCGTGTTACAGGAAAGTGCTGTGCTACAGGGAAAACATCGACCTCAGTTTGACGGAACTGATGGAAGACCAGAAAAAGTTCCTCTTGCTGCAAGATCTGATGTAAAGCTTCGGGAGAAACAAAAAAGTTTTGAACAACGCGATTTTCAAGCTCAAAGGGTAAAACACTTTTCGCTTCTTATCCACCTGTACTCACTTTAACATTAATAATACCTTGGTACAATTGTTACCCAGGCGAAAAGTTTTCCTTACCATTAGACCGCCGTCAGGTCTTTAGGCTAATATCAGAGGTAAACATCTGTTTCTGACAGAATTGTAAGATCGGTTAGTGGGAAATAATTAAAAGATAAATTTCTAGGAAATCTGTTGTATGTTCTTGAAGAGGTGAACCTGGTGGGTTCATCTGTAACTTACTCATTCAACAATAAATCGTCCCAAAACCAGTATCTGCTCAGGAATTCTACAGTTATCCGGACTCTCCTGCTGAAGCTGCTGGTCTTACCCAATCTTAAACTTCATTGCTTTCATTATTTTCTTTTCCTTAGGAAAAAGCTGTACTTGAAGGATACCTTCGTTTATCGCCAGAGGACAGCAACGAGAAAAAGCCAAATTCAGTGGTAGTTCCCAAAAGGGAGCAAATCAAATTAGGCGAAAAGAAGGCAACTTTCGAACAACTCGACGAGCAGGCACAACGGGTTAGTAAACAAAATGTCATTTAAATTGTGGCTTACGGTATTAAAGAAGTTTTGAAATTTCCTTTCTCTGTTTAGTAAATTGGAGAATTTTTGTACTAAGTAATTGAAGCATGACAGGACAGCCAATTTAAAGCTTGAGCACGGTTTTCTGTGTCTTATAATGCCCCATACCCAAAGATAAAAATGCGTTTGAATTAGCAGCCTGGCTTAGGATCTTTATTTGCAATCGATAATATTCAGTGCTAATAAGATTTTTAAAGAATATTTCAGTTGATTTGATAGTCTGGTTTATATGGCGTTAATTTATTGTAGGATACATCTATTCTTCGCGGTGAACATCGTCCTTCCTTAACAGAAACCGACGGGCGTAAGAAATCATCAAAGGCTGGTCTTTCTCGAGAGTCCAATGTTGGACTTCTGGAGAAGCAACGCACATTTGAAGACATGGATTACAGGGCTAGGAAGGTAAAGGCATTATATCAACATTAGCCAGCCTTTTCCTTTTTTTCCTGCTAAAGAACTACAAAATTGGGGAAAGGGGCATACTTTGGGGAGGAAACTCCTCATTCAGTGTCTTCAAACAAGGGGTGAGGCCAGGGTGCGCTATTGAATTTGACTTTTGATTTGGGCGGTCAAACTGTACCTGTGCCGATCCTTATTCGTGACGTTTTAATAAAGATCATATTTAACACTTTCAACTGAAAAAAAATTTAAGGAAGAAGTAGTTTCGAATAACTCAGTCCTTTCTATTTCAATATTCATATACGAATCGCTAAGTTTGGGAAATTAGCCACCGGCCTTGTAAGAAAATTCTTGCCGGTAGCTTCTTTCTTGTTTTCTTATCATGTTTAGGTGAATCAGTTACACTATTCAATGCACAATAGATTACCGTAGTATGTGGAAACAAGCGCTTAATAGGTAGTTTTAATTGTATGAACCATTTAGTGCTGCCCAGTTTCAATTCAGACAACTGCGAGGATGCTGAGCTTTGTTCGCTCACTCGTGAAACAGCCAGTCATAAGCGCTAAAATACTTTTTGACATAATTGATGCATTTGATTCCGCACTTGTAAAGTTCGCAGTGTGAATGGAAGTCGAACTTTTCCCGTAATTGTATTCGACAAGCTCAGTCGAACAGAACAACAGGTCGTCAAAATATCAAAACTGAATCCAATCGATTTAAACTTCGAACGTTATGTGTTCCAAACCTAATTATTAGATTTGGCTGATTAACCGGCCCAGTGATATAATTAAACATTATTGTCTTTTTCCAACGCACAGGAAAGCGAGATCCTTCAGAAGAACAAACGAAAATCATTCGAAAGTTCTGTAAAAGAACCTACACCACTAAGTACGTCCAACAGACAATGGGGCGCTTCAGATATTAGGAAGCGGAATCTGCACGAACGACCCACCCGCCCAGTTTCCAATTACTACGAATATAGCAGCTTTAATGATGATCCAGAATCACACCAAGTTATGGAAAATTCCACATCAGAGGGTCGTATCGACCAAGTGTCAGTGGAAGAACCTATCCAATCAGTTCCGGCATTTGAATCACAAGCAAAAGCTACCCGTCCGTACCAAAGGGATTATTTCAAAGACGAACAGCGTGCTGTGGAAGATAGAAGAAAGGATTATTTTGATTATGCGAAACGATACGAAGATTCTAGAAGACGAGAGCCGGTCGATGAGGTAGCCTTAGAAATAGATGTATCAGATGCCAAAAATCTATCTTATCGTGATATGGTTCGAGCACCGCGGAAAAAACCCAGAGAAACTTTTATCCGTGAAACGAATAATGTAACTGTAGTGGAGGAGATGCCATGGCGAAGAGAAGTTCGAGATGTCAAGGACAAAAGGCACCTTTCGTCAGACGAAGAGCAGGGTGCAAGTTTTGCTGCTCGACCAAGCTCACCACGCTCTGAGCTTGGAAAAGCTCAATACCTTGAACTGGTTGTTCCCCCATCAAAAAAAGCGATGGACAATTTTGCCAATGATAGGGAGGCGACTGAAAAAAAGGCAGAAGAAATGCCGTGGAGAAAAGAAGCAAGGGAGATCAAAAGATCATCGAGCGGAGAAGACCCTCCTATATTCATGTCTCGTGCCGATGCGCAACCTGCTGAACTTACACGGATCCGTCCGCCCTCCTTGAAAACACGGGATACCTTTTTGACAACACAAAGTGACGAACAGGAAGAAGAAATGCCCTGGAGAAAAGAGGTCAGAGAATTAAAGGAGAGACCCCGTTCAGAAGAAGATGAGTATCGAGATGACAGTCCTACCCCTGAAGTGGATTTCTCTACCGGAACAAACTTGCGTAGATTATCTTACAAGGAGTTTACTACAGTTCCGTCGAGAAAAAGAAGAGATGTTTTCCAGGTTAATGATGAAAAAGAGAAGGACAAAGAGGAAATGCCATGGAGAAAGGAAGTACGCGAAATCCAGAGAACAAAGACTGAAGAAGAAGAGGAACCGCTCCAAAAGTCTTCTGCTACGTTAGCTCAGTCTTCTCCAGAAGGCGATAATCGAATACCTGAATACGCGTACCAAGACGTGGTAACTAAGCCTCTTCGAAAGGCTAGGGACAGCTTTACGCCGAGGGTAGAAAAACAAGAAGAGGAAATGCCTTGGCGGAAAGAAGTTCGTGAAATTAAAAGAACTATAACGGAGGACGAACAGGTTCAGCGTTCATCTGCTGTGACGGTTGATTCTTCTCCAGATGACTTCAAGGACCCAAGAAGTTTTTCATATCGCGATTTTATTGCGAAACCCAGGAAAAAGTCAGAAGGCTTTCTCTCCAGTGAAGAAAAGGAGAAAGAAGAAATGCCTTGGAGAAAAGAAGTCCGAGAGTTGAGAGACAAAGCCGTGGAAGAGGAACAAATAAGCCAATCGTCTCGCTGGGAAGTTGAGTCGGCGCCGAATGATTCTTGGTACAAGAACTCTGGCCGCAATGACACAGACGCTCAGAAATTGTCTTACAACGATTTCGTTTGCCCACCATCAAACGTAGATGAACCACAGGAAAAGGTTCGTCGTAAGTCCACCAAAGTTAGAGATCTTACCCAGAAGTTTGCCACAATCGAACGTGAAAAAAATCTCCCCAAAGAAAAAGGTCCTCCCTCGCGGAAATCTTTGGTAGACGTTGCAGAGCTGAAAAGAATAGAACGAGATATGAAGACACGAAGCTGGCATGGATTTCGTTCCAGCGAATACGACTCTGATGATGACTATGACGTGGAATACCGCCGGCGGAGAAAATCAAAAGAAGAATGGGAAGAAAAGCTACGAGATCAACATCATCGGGAGAATGTTTCTGGACTGGAGCAATTTGATGACGTCTTTCAAGATCCGGAAGGGTACTTTGACCAGATGCGAGGCCCTCCACATGAGAAAACTGTAGAGGAAGAAGTGGGTTTTCAGTATAAAGAACCTTCGTGGGTTGACCAGCGAGCCATACGTTCCACGAATGAAAGTGGTTTCTATAGCCCCCATGACCAAAATGGTCAATCGTCTGTCAATGCTGCTGACGAATTCGATTATTACCAAAACTATTCGGTCGATGATGAACCTAGAAAACGCAAACCGTCAGATGACCGAGTAGTTGTGAAGCAAACCTGGATTCAGCCAAATCGCGTGGAATTAGCTGAAACTCAGGCTCCCAGTGCCCAAGATCATCATAGGCAGAGGGATGCGAATCGTCCAGCAGAGCATTTGAAAAGTGAGAGACCATACGTGCGCGATTTTGAAAAGATGGAACCTGTTCGAGACGGACGAGGAAATGAAGACAATCAATTTTTTCCAAGACCCATCGATCCTAGCGAAGATAAATGCTTTATTGAAGAAGGCGAGCATCAACGACAGAATCGTTCTTATTACTCGGGATTTAATGGTTTTGGTGGCCACAGTCAAGTTAAAAACGATGATTGGCTGCCAACAAAAAATAGGCCGGATCCTCGAGGTCAGAGAAATCAGACGCCTACGAAGAATGACGTTGGTGAAGGTCCTATGGTGTTTGGTGGTCCTATAGTCGTCACCGTACGACGGAATCAGCAACCCGAAAAACCTGAAGAACCAAGACGCCGCGGGACGTATGATTTTGTTCCAGCTGCAGTACGACCTTACGAAAATAGAAAGGCAGAGAAGGGGGGGCAAGACGATAAAGATTTCCCAGCAATAAAGACGTCATATAGCGACAGAGCTGTTGTAAAATCATTCAAGGATGAAGGAGGAAGCATAGAGAGTGCAAGAGATCTGGTCCTGCAGGACATAAGAAATATTAACAAGGGAAGGATTGTGGAGCCAGCAGAAGAAGGGAAAACATCTCATCGACCTCAGGTGTTCGGCGTATTTGCGCGAACAGATCCAAACCAGGAGAAGGGACGTGGCGATGCACAAAAACAACAATCGTCGGACTTTTCAGTTCCCACAGTTCGTGGCCATATGCATGATCTCCATGAAAGCCAGGTAGAAAATCCACAAGATTGGAGACATGTTGAGAACGAAAAGGACGAGTTGTGGTACGCGGACCCAAAACCGCCGCGCAACTACGAAATCTCTGATTACGAAAACAGTGCATCAAATCTTACGGAGCTGAAGCCAGCTGTCGTCTCGGTCGTTGAGAGTCAGGTACGGCAGTGGGGCACTGGTGGATTTCAAGAAACTCCGCAGAAAGATGAACAGCGAACAGGACGACAACGGGTGATGAACTTTTCAAATGATGACGATGACATTGCAAGGGTTAATAGGGATGACGCGTTCCGATCAGCAACGGGTGCAGATGATCGAAGACGAGAGCAGAAAGAAAAAGAAGAGATGGTTAGAAAGCAATTACAAGACGCTGAGTATAGAGAAAAATACAGGAAAGAGTTTGAGGAAAAAAATCGCAAGCATCGAGAAAAATCGAACTACCTTATGAGTTTGCAGATGAGAGCAGCTATGGGCTCAGATGAAGATGTAGGTTACGGTGAAGACACTGTTGCAACTAGAGTTAAAGAATTTCACAGTGAACAACTTCCAAGCAGCAGTTGGAAAAACGATGCTGAAACCGGAAACCCCAGGCTTACTGGTGACGTTAATGAGGAAGATGGGTTAAAAGTGGTTGCTGCAGAGGAAGACTACTGGCATCACAAAATTGAAAAAAAAAGGGAACTACAAATCAGAGAAGCAAGTCGACATGAACCACCAAGAAGAAAGAAAAGTGAGGAATCACAGCCGCGCATCAATGGAATTGACTTTGTTGTGGAAGAAGACATTGTGCACAGAGAATACAAGGACTTCGACCACGATGCGCGTAGTAGAAAGCTCCAAGCTGAAGAAGAGCTTATGGCTCAGGAAGGTGACAGATTAAGAAGAGAAACAGCCGCTTTGAAACAGCAAATTCAAATTGAGGAACCAATTATCGCGCCAGTAGAAAAACCGCCAGTGGAATTTACAGTCAATGAGGAAGTGGTTAATAGTTTACTGGCTGAAGAAAACAAAGAAGATAACTTTTACGATGAGAATGAAAATCGTAAATTTGGTAAAAGAGATGTTTTCCATAAAGATGAGGAGTATCTGCCACAGAAAGAATTGGAGTTTCAGGGAAATGGTAGATTGTATTCGGATGAAGGGAAGACTTCAAGGCCACAGGTGGGAATTCGTCCAATAAATGGCTATCATCACGAAAGAGAAACACACCAGAAGGCACCAGCTGAAATATTAAGACATGATGGAGATCCTCTTCACCACAACGGCGTCCTTGAGACGGACCCGGAAATAAATGGTTTTGATGGATATAGTATTTACGAGACATTTATTCACGGCGAAAGTAATCACGTGATTTGCATGAGCTGCGGCACTTCAATCGAGAAGAGTCCGGCGATGTACATAGCAGAGTTGGACCGTTACTGGCACGTGAACTGCTTCAACTGTGTTGTGTGCCGGGCGTGGTTTGGGGACGAATATAGCCCAGTCCTTCAAATCACCAACTCCATGTTGCATTGTGAGCGTTGCTACATAACATCTGAGGGTAAGTAGGAGTATATTGTTCTTTTCTATCCTGTTCATTAATCCGGTTTCAAGAACTACTGAACTTATTGAAGATGCAAGAAGATAAAAATGATGGGGCTCAGTGATAATTTAAAACGCGTTTAAGTGATAGCCATCTTTGCCTTCAACCAACTGCAAAAATTCTTCTTAAAGGAGCTGTGTCACGAAATTCAGCCAAATTATGAAATTACAAAATGCCCGTTAAATTAAGAGAAACATAAAAATAACCGCTTAAAACTTTAAAGGAAGGTTAAAATAACATAACAGAAACAACAGATGCCACGGAATGGCAAAACTGAAGAAGACTGGAACGGATTGAAATTAGGGTTTTGAAAACTGTTGAACCTAAAAGTTTTTCAAAGTTGATCCCTGCTGCTTGCAACTTCAAAAATAATGCTCAAGAGACATATTTGTTTGTCTCGGATCTCTGATTTTGTCGTTTACCTTTAATTTCTTTGCTTTCTTTAAGTTCCATAGCGATTGAGGGCGAGTAATTGGCAACATTAAACAAACTGAACTGGACTGCCGTGACACAGCCCCTTTAAGCATGAGTTATTGTCGGCTAATTAATTTCTTTAATGAAGGAAGCAGTTTACTCTTTCTTTCTTTCTTTCTTTCTTTCTTTAGCACCTGAGCTAAACAAGCCTCTGCGCTCTCGGATTGATAATAATGCGTTTGCCTTCAACTACTAATAGCATAATCTGCTGGCAGCTGTTCGCCCTTTCCGTTTCCAGAAAGTTCATTCTATAAATTAAATGATGATAATTGAACTTAGTTGAGTGCACTTTGGTCTGAAATCATACACGTGATTTAGTATCGGAGGAGTGCACAGCGAGATGTTCGATTTGAAATCACAAGTATGATTTCAGACCAAAATTGCATGTCACGAAGCTCAAATACCACTTTATTACAGCCATTTTGAAATCGCCAAATTCAGTTAGTATATTTTTTTGATTTTATTATTATTTTATTGATCCAGTGACTGGTTCCTTGAAAAGTGGAATCTGAAACGCTTTTACATCTCATTTTGTACGCGAAACAGAAAGTAATACCATTTAGTGTAAAAATGATGAAATTTAGAACAGAAATGATGTGATTTAGAACAGATGTTATGTGATTAAACCACCCTGTTGAGAGCCAATCAGATTACAAAGATCACCAGTGATTTGAAAATGGATGTAATAAATCCATAAAACGTCGCTTTATAACTGTAAAAGTGAAGTACATGTACTTATTAACGATTAGAAGACTAACCCGTTAAAAATCTGAAAGAAAACGAAAGTGAACCTTCTGATCGTTCAAGTTAAATTCTAATAAATGGCGAACTAGTCAGCCAATTAGTCAGCCAATTAGACTAAATGTGTTTGATGGGAGATTATTCAGGGAAACTCACTTTTGCATTTTTGCATTCAGGTTCAAGGTGTTGTTTTTTTAAGTTTACCGTACTTAAACTGATTTACGTCTCTTTCTTTTTATAGGGGAAAGATGTACAGAGGTTTAGCGCGAGACTTATTTTAAACACTAACGAACTCTTATTCACTAGTTTGTTTTTATTTGTACATTATTTTTATTTTGTGTTAATTTTAAGTTTAAATATCCAAAAACGGCTTTGAAGTGCAATATGACTTTCGAAAGCAAGGCCCAACTGATATTACCGCAATATTGACGACACGAAAGTACTTTTTCACTTATGTTAGGCTATAAGCAGTATTGTTATCTTTGTACAGCCAATAACGTCAAAATGTAGGAGGAACAAAACTATTCTGTAAATTGTAACGAACCACAACTAAGTCTTATTTTATAGTACTGGCTGTTGGTGAGCTTTCAGTCGAGGATTTTTAAAAAAGAATCAAAACCTTAAACAACATGATTTCCCAATTGAGTACTTAGCCTTGGGACTCAGTGGTTTAAAAGGAGTCAAGGGTCTCTGAGCACGTGCGAAGCAGTAGGTAGGCCCAACATTTTTAGCAATATCAGTATTATTGGACAACACACTAGCAATGCGAACGAGCCTAGGACTATTGAAAATATAAGATCTCTTTGTCCCTCAACACGATAGGGTCTGTGAAATTCGGACAAAAGTTTTGGGCCGTTGCTCTTTTCAGATCGTAGGGTGATTTCCTTCAGCGTCAACTGGAAACATTTGCGGGGAACTTCTCTTGACTTGAGGCAGTTATGTCCCTCAACACGATACTGTCTGCGACAATCGGCATGTACATTCATGCAGCATTGTGAGACTACCTTTTTACCACTGTATTCGGGCTGTTGCGTTAAAGGTGATGGACTTCAAACCTCGCCCGGGAACGTGCAACAACAGCAAAAACGGCTTTCAAAAACTTCCGCATGTCGGACTGCAATCATGTGGTATCGGTCAAAATTTTCATACGCTTGTGAAGCTTAAGGTAATAATTATGAGTGTTCAGATACTGAATGCTAGTTTTTATGGATTTTTCTTTGAGAAAAAACCACCGTAGTTAATAGTTTGCTTTTTATTTCCGAGAAAAATGAAAAATTAAAGGGGCTATGCCAGGCTATTTGCTATCTTTACTAAAAGCTAAAATAATGGTCCAGTTTTGCTAGTTAAGACTATATTTGGGCATTGAAATTGGTTTCCTGTCGTCTGTTTACAAAGGATGGCAAAGATGGAGACTGATAGACAGGCAGCCGAAACCAACTTTTTCAAGTTTTAATGTTATGCATGCAAAAATCATCATTAGGGTTGGTGCTCCCTGATGAAATTTGTTTGATATTTTCCTCAGAACTCTGTGGAGCATTTTGTGTAAACGTATACTAGTCACTAAGCATATTCACAAAGCACAAGATTAACCCCAGAGGGGATTACAGTTGAGCGCCTTGTTTTCTGAGCAATTGTCCTTGAAAATCTAGTCCAATTAGCGTACTAACTGCATGGTTTACGTGTATTCCCTCTTCTATCGTTCTTTCTTTCATTCTCAATTCAACCCCAATTCCCCCAAAATTCAACTGTGATCCCCTCTTAAGCAAGGACGGTCGAGAAATATAGTTAAGTTTTAGCTTTATGTGTTGGATTTTGTAATCCACACCAGTTTCTTACCGCCCCATTTTCTGCGGCATTTTGTAGATAGCTATAATGGTGATTTGTATTTTTGCAACGATATAAATTATACAGCGCACGATAAGTGTCATTTACGTTGTAAAACTGCAACATAATGCAAAAGTGAAACTTGTAAAAGGTTTTTAATAAACCGTTATCTGTGCCACAAGCCACAGGTTTCGATTTAAATTTTTATAACTAGCCAAGTGACTTGTAACAGACGGAAGAAATTGCGTTTTGAAATGAAGATAATAAATATGTACAATTTAAAGATTTTTTTTGAAAGATGTCGGTTGCAGTATAGTTGGAAACTGTCCTTGACCCTTAACTGACCCGAAACTGTCCTTAATTTTCGTTGAAATGCTATTACTATTTAACTAGTCACTCTGTATCATGATGTCTGGATCCTGTCTCTTAACGGGACGGAAATGTCCACTTAATATCCCATATAGTCACGCTCACCGAGCCCGCCTGGTCAACCCAGTCTGTGGTCAACCCAGTCTGTGGTCAACCCAAACCAACAACAGGACAGCGGGTAACACACAGCTTATGTATACAAATCCCAATCTCTCCTAGTAAACACTGCGGCTTTGGGCCATGGCTAGCTTCATGTAATACGGGGATAAAAGTCACTACGACGAGGGCACTACCGACGACAAAAAGCGACTGAGCTAGTCGGGCTTGTAAAATCAGCTTTTGAGTTTTACTTTTATGGGTAGTGTCCATGATAATCGCTTCGATTATACTAGTCTATGGCATAAAAAAATTATATAAAAGTTCTGCCAAAGATTATCAACAACACCCAAAAGAGTTTCTTAGTTGGCTATCGGGAAAAATGTCACCTTAATGGATAACATCAACAAGTTCACAAATAGAGAGCAACCTGCTCATTGGATATCGGGCAAAAGCAAAGAGCAGGAGAAGGTGGAAAATCATCAACACGTATGTCAAGAAAACCGGGGGTACTCCCCATAATAGAGTGCTTATAATAAGCAACAACGATGGCGACAGCTACAAAAACTTCACTTAAAAAGTGAATTCGCGCTGCGTCAAATTTTAACACGCTTATCCAATCTCGCTCATTTTGTTAAATGTTGGCAGATTTTTCTGGAGTTGAATTAAGACCCTACTGAAGTTAAGGAAAAGAAAAAGAGAGTTGTTGCGAGTTGTGTTCACGTCCTCCATAAAACGACGTAAAATAAGGCATTTTCACGTCGTAGTCGTGCACTGAAGGCAAAGAAATGCACAAAAAAGCGTGATGCAAGTCCAAAGTTGTTGTTTTGCCAATCTAACCCAATTGCTTTTTTGCCTTTGCCGTTCCCGTTCCCGTTGAGGTCGCCGTCGTCTTTGATTAAGTTCTCTAATGGACCATACGGAGAAGCTTCGCTTGAAAGGAGTTCCTTTTTCAGGTCTGAGGTTTGTGAAACGGTAGGGATTTGTTGAAGTATATTAAAGGATAGGGAATTCTGTCATTTCGGCCGGTGAAAACGCCCAAAAGGGCTAACAGATTCATTTTTTACTGTGAAAAAGTCGCGAAAACGTTCTGTTTTTTTTTTCGTATTTTAACCCTTTGGTGACGGCCGGCGAGAAGCGAAAAACCACCGCATTTTTCATCAATTCTTCTTCTTTGGACTAGTTTTCCGCTATAGCATAAGAATGGATAAAAACGAGTTTTGCAAGAAACAAGGCATATTTTCCGACTAATCTGATGTAATTAAACAGCTTTTTTGTTTTTCGATTCACGCATGTGCAAAAGCCCAAATTTAGACTTTTTCGAGTTTTCTCTCTCGCTCTCTTTTTTTCCTTCTTTTCTTTCTTTATTGGCGGTTTTGTTGCCCACTTTATCGTCTTTCTTTTGCGTGGAATTGTTGCTGGCTTACTTTTTAGGAAAGGGACAAATTTAATATTCAAAGAGTAGTATGTAAACAGCGTAATTGGCAGTGGATTGTTCTCCAAAATGTTACCTTTTTTTGTGAGTCAGAATATCCAAAACGATGTATCGTTGGAACTGATCTATCTTTGCTGACATTGTTCCTTACCGATTTATTAACTTCAACTGAGAGCTAACTGGGTCAAGGGAGGAACGCATACATCGTTCCATATGGGTATACGACCCTAGCCGTCCGAAAAGGGTTAAAGAACAGTGTATTTAGAGCAGTTGAAAAGGATTCAAAGGTCTGAACAACGTAGGTATGTGTAAAGGGTGCCATGCATTTGACATTTTCTGTCAACGCTGCTATAAAAAAGGGTAAGGGGTTGGACCTCGGGGTGGAGCCGCAAACTTTGTTGAGTCTTGACATCCCCCCCCCCCTCCCCTGGAGAAAGATCTTACCCCATTGTCGCTAAACATTTGTTTGCACCGATGTAAAAATGGTTGAAACCATCAGTCTGGTCACCTTAGATCTTGGAGAGAGCCCTATTGTTCAACGATTCTTCAGGCTCACAGTTAACTCTGTCTGAACTTATGATTCTATGACAATAATAAGCGTTTGAATGGGTCATCCTGGGCTATCCTGGATCTTTGCCGACATATATTGAGAGACCGCCCTGGCCACCACCTGCAAAAAAAGTTGTTAAAGGTCGCAGCTCAAAAGGTTCAAAACCAGGTAGAGTTTTTCCTTTGAAAGGAAGTCAGGGAATTTAGGGCCGTGTTATGTGTGTTCTGTGTTTGACGACTGTCTGATGTCAGGTACTGGGCATGGGTATACCATGAATGACACTTGTGACAGACACGAAGCTACAAAACAAGTAAAGACTGATCGGTTAGGTCAGTCTCCTTCCTTGGCTACACCTCTATGATATAAGCTAGGCTAATCTACGATATAAGACGCTGTTCAAAGAATAGAAAATGAAAAGCAAAACTAATGATGGGTCCCTCGCCAGTTAACAACTGGACGGAAAAAACAAAGGGGACAGTCTGCCGCAAACTGCACTGCAAGAATATGTTAAAAAATACTTACCTGGCTGCTTCTCGAGTATCAGTTTATTTTTTTAGATCTCCAGTTACAAGTTGAAAAACTCTTCGTATGAGGGGAAAACTAGATATTTCGATCAATTTCAGTTACAGCTTGTGTGCACTCAAGCCAAAAAAAATTAACTGAATACAGAAAAAACAATAATTTGTTTCCATTTTGCTGCGGATAGGAAGCCGGTGATCTTAGGCCGGGTTTCACTTCACAACCGTGTAACTGTGTTTTTTTATTTCGCATCTTTCCGGATTTCTTCTGCATGTAGTGTTATTCGATGAACGTTTGACTGTTGACATAGTAACAGTATTTGAATAAATTACATATAGTATGGTGTTCAACCGACGAGGTACGGACAAAAAATTGTCAAACCAAGTCAGTGACTTAGTAGGTCTTGTTTTTCTTGTTGAGATAAGATGTGATCGAAAGTCTAAGATATTTCAGTGAAAACAAACGGTCTCCTTTATTACTAAAACATCACCTGACATAAGGAAAGAAAAGCCTGCCAGGTTTCCTGTTACCCGGGGATAACTCGTTTATTTCTCACCCTCATTTCAGATATTTCAGATTCCCCACGTAGAAAGTGCATTCAGTTGAAAAAATTCTTTCAAAGGTCTACAATGATATCAGCAAAAGGTCCATTGAGTATTCTATTTCTCTCAATGAGTGAACATTTCAATTAGTAGGCTAATGATTAAAATCTGGTTTGAGAAGTCTTTGTCCGACACGTAACTCAAATTAATGTTGGCAACACCCTGTGTTTCTTCTTTTATTACCCAATAAAGATACCCTTTTCACCGCGAGGAACAATTCATTAGCAAGGACAAGACATGCCATCCCAGCAGCAGCTTGATGAGCGTAGAAATCAGTCGCAGATGGCTGCCACATTTGCCTAATTAAAAAATACGTGTATAAAACACGATATAAGCGATAACGGCCTGCTGCACTGTCCAACTTCAAACTCAGCGTTGTGTGTAAAATCCTGACTTTTGGCTTTGACGCATGCCCAAGGCGTTTTACGAAAACATATATGGAAAACAACACGGTTTAGTACCATAATAAATTGCGTGAAATGAAATAAATAAGAATAACAATAAAAACAAATCGAGTTACAAATTCATCCGCCTCTTTCTTTATTCAGCAAGGTCGTCTATGCTAAATCCTTTGTGTCGTAGGTGTATACGTTTTGCCTACACCAGACACTTAACTTTTTTTATCATCGGCGCACGTCCAGTTATTTTTTTTGAAGTAAATCAAACTCGGGTCGGTAAAGGGTGATTTGTTTGAGGTCAGGATCAATTTTAAACACTAATTATACTATTTAAGCGTGTTGAGACCGCAATGCAGAGCCAATATCATAAAAACCACATGGTATTTATTCAATGAATAAAACTCATTTGAATTACACGACAAGCAGGGAGCGTTGTGTTCATCAAAATAAAAACAAGTATCATATTGGAGAATGACGATGGTGCAAATTTGCAAATGTTTGTTATCAAAGTGCAAATCTTCAGGGTCTAAAAGATGGTTGCGATTCCAATACGACCACGCCCGTATAGATTTAGATTTTTCTGTTATCTCAAAGGCTATCTAGAAGTTCAAAGATTAAGACTTCCGTCACAAGTAACTGTAGGATAAACTGAAAACCACTCGTGATTACCCCCTTATGGTTATTAAAATTAAAGGGGGCACAACAGGAAATCTGTCATTTAGTACGAGTGCATAACTAGGATTCTGTGAGCTGGCCTTAGCGCACTTTTACGCAATCTACTCAGACGTCTTACGCGCTGGTTGGACAAAATAACGAGTAACATTTCCTTGGAGGATTCTTCAAACAGAAGGTAAACATCAAACCACCAAGTATCTGTTTGATCAGTTTTTAGTTATGCGGAGTATATCTACTTTTTGACATAAAATATTCCAGATTTAGCTTTGAGACGCGAAGCTTGTTTACTAAGTAACTCGAACAAGTATTCGTTTTCGTTCAAGGTGTCTAAAGCACTAATCCAATTTTCAGTTGGCTAAAAGCAAGTTTCAAAAGGCAAGAATTTAATTCAGACTAACATCAACCATGCAATTTATGTTCATAGGGTCGTGAGATCTCCACTCGGAACAACTGAACAACAGATATCGAAATGGCAATCGTCTTCAGATCATTGATTTTATTTCTTACTGTCCTTCAATCTTTCACCTTCGGAAGATATCCTCCTTTGCCTCCATTTTTAGAAAAAAACAGTAATGGTAAGTCAGGTATAAGTTTACCGCTAACAGTTTGCATTGTGCATGTACAGAATATATATGTCAGGCTTTAAGCAAACACGACAGGACCACCTACGACATGGCGTCTTATCAGCATACTTAAGTCACAATTACGCGAAGGGAAATTTCAAAAACTCATATACGAAGACAAGCGGTATTTCATGTAACAAACTACATGGGCCAGACACTTTGAAAAGAAACATTTTCCAGCGCCAATCTTCCCAACTTTCAGCAGATCTCAAAGCTCTGGTGCCTAATCCCTTCCTCATCAACCATTCAATTTTTCCCTTCCAAATCTTCATTAGTCTTTAGGCACGCAGGAGTGCTGTTGAGCTAGCCTCGGTAAAACTAACACGTTCCTTCAGCATGAATGATCAAGTCACCCTCTTAATTTACGTACTCTTTCTACGGCATGTTTTTCATCACTTTATATACTGAGAATGACCACCCTATTCCCTAGGCCTCTCATTCCTCCTAAGCCCTAGCGGACTGAGGATACTGATGAAAGAAATGTTCCATTTTAGAAATAAATGAAAGCGGAAATGATCTTCGCAGTTGAATAAACAACTTAAGCGGTTGAATAAGAACCTGAAGAAATTCAGGCTTGGCCAAAAAATATATTTTAGAAATAAAGTTACTTCTAAAGGCTGCTGAACGGCCCCACTACAGAAGTTAGGGCTAGAACTCGATCCTTCATTTCTCCAATTGAAACTAGGAATTTAAGGGTTGAGAGATATTAACAAACTTATTGATTTTTAAGAAAATAGGCTAAAATATGTCCAACCGAACAGCTTACATCTTTCTGTAGTAATGTTTTCTTTCCTTCTTTCCTTATGTGGTCTTCTAATTTTCTGTTGTAGTGGTATTTTTTTTATCTTAGATAAAGTATTATGACAGACTAGAACTCACTCTATCTTTATGACTCTCCCATGTTTTTGTTCTGGCTGATAGGGAAAGTATGCTTTCACGATGACCAGATGTATATGCCCTGGGAAAAGTTTGCTGATAAAGCTTGTACCGGGTGGTGCACATGCAATGGACTTACCGGCAGTGTGGGATGTGTTTCCTTGTGCCCTCTCGCCCCTCCCAGAAATTGTCCCCCAGGAACTGAAGCACGGATTAAAAATGTTCCTTCTGGTGACAAGACTGGGAGATGCACATGCAAGCGACAAGTCTGTGGCAAGTATTGTAAATAAACATAACATGTAGCAGGCCGACTCTTTTGACAGCAAAAAGTTGACAATAGATCCAATCTATTTATTTACGTTCAAAGTAACTGTAATCTATCTATTTGCTTTCATAATAATTGCTAACCTTGGTGTCCTTAGCCCATTACTAGCAAGGTCCTGGCAGCTGTAGTTAAACGATGCCATTTCGTAAAGGGATTGATCCTGTTTACGGCTGTGTAAGGAAGAACAAAATTAGCGCAATATTTGAAACATAGGTAGTTAGCCATTCAAGGTCAAAAAACAGTATTATTTCTTAGACCCATAACGTGGATAACGAGAAGTCTTGCATTACATATATCAGATGACTAATTTTACACTCCTCCCTCTTTTGAACGGGAAGCGTTTGAGATAGGTCTTGCACTAAAAGAATTGCCAGCCGTTACATTGCAGGGATGTCTAGACACCCACATTGCAGTGGGTGTGTGTGAGTTTCCAGGGATCTCGTAAACGTGAACAAAGAATTTTATTCTAGGTTTGTTTGTGGCTGGAGGTTTCCATCAATTATTGAAATTCTGGAAGTATTCAATCCTTCCAGAGTGTGAGAGTAGTGCCTCGGACGATTATTTCATCGACAGGAAATGCTCGGGTCGATGCAGAAGCATGGGGGGGGGGAGGTAGCGGGATCGCGTGTGTTTCCCTGTTTCTACCTGGGGCACTTAGGTGCCTCCCCCAACCCGATAGACCCGGAAAGAAGATGTTTCTGCAAGCGAGAGAGAGGTGTGGAAAAGATAGGGCCTTGTAAGCCTTGTATTTCACCCGCGGAGTGGACGCATTAGTTATACTTCACTTCTCCAACTGAATCTAGGAATGAAAAGTTTTAGACTACCGTATTTATTCGATTAACCGCCCTGGGCGCTTATTAAAGTTTTAGACCTTGATAGTGGGCGCTTATTCGAGGCTGGGTGCTTATTAAATTTTCACCATTTTCAGCAAGTCAAGTCTATTTCTTTCGCAACAAACAATAAATGGTAATAACAAAACGCGAAGATGTAACAAAGCAAGGTTTCTGTAAAATACTCTGAAGAAACCTCCGTCTTCGGGGAAGTCTCTTATTAGTACTTATTCAATTTCAATTTTAATCTCATTGTCATTCAAGTCAATAAGTGAATTTTCTGGTGCTGCCTCCTCGATGTCCGACATCGGGGGAGTGGGGTGGGGGTGGGCGCTTATTCGAGCTGGGTGCCAACTCCAGGTTGGTCGCTTATTCGAATAAATACGGTATGTGAACAACCTTACTCCCTTTTAAGAAGGTAGACTAAATAAATCCAAACAAAGAGCTCGCATGTCAGCCCCTTTTCCCTTTCTGTTTGTTCTTTTGCTCTTTTTCTCTGTTGCTGCTTCTGTTGTTGTTATTTTTTTAAACGTCGATAAAATGTCATGACAGTCAGCAACTGATCATTGTATCCTTATACCTTTGGCATGTTTATTCTGGCTGATAGAGAAAGTATCAGTATGCTTTCACGATGACGAGATGCATATGCCCTGGGAAAAGTTTGCTGATAAAGCTTGTACCGGGTGGTGCACGTGCAATGGACTTACCGGCAGTGTGGGATGTGTTTCTTTGTGCCCTCTCGCCCCTCCCAGAAAGTGTCCCCCAGGAACTGAAGCACGGATTAAAAATGTTCCTTCTGGTGACAAGACTGGGAGATGCACATGCAAGCGACAAGTGTGCGCTCCTTCTACAGTTAAAGGTTGACTATAAATCCAATCTATCCATTCATTTTTATAGTAATTGTGAGATCTATGTATCATTGCTTGTCTGCAAATACTAGTACTAGCAAGGTTCTGTAAGCCGTAGTTTTACTTGACGCCATTGCGAAAATATGGTTGTTTCTCTTTCGGCCTCTGCGCAAGGAGGAAGAAAGGTAACAATGTCTGAAACAAGGTAGTTAGCCTTTCAGAGTCATAAAGCATATATCTTTACCTATATCGTATTTAACCAGACGTCTTGCGTTATATATCAGCAGATGAATAATTTTACACGCCATTCAATATCTCCTTCCCGTCGTTTGACTCACGACCGTTGCACTAAAAAATTGTAGTGAGTGGTGGTGTGTGCATTGTGGAATCTCGTTAATTGAACCAAGAATTTTATCCTAGCTTTGCTTTTGGCTGGGGGGGGGTCCCTCAGTTTATTAAAATTCTGGTAACTTTCAGTCCTTCCAGAGTGCGTGGGTCGTGCTTCGGGAGAATATTTCATCGACAGCAAATGCTCAGGTCGATGCAGATGTATGGAGGGAGGTACCGGGATCGCGTGTTCTTCCCTTTGTCCACCTGTGTTCGTGCGGTGCTCCCCAGGCGAAGAGAAAGAGTACTATGATCAGCCGATAGACCTTGATCAAAGATGTTACTGCAAGAGGGAGAGATGCGTAGCAAAGATAGGGGCTTGGTAAGTACTACACTGCGTTATAGAAAAAGCAGTGAGAGGAATACGGTGTATTCTAGTCTAACCTGGTTTAGGCGTCAGATAGTGGGGATGGCGCACCAGAGAGAAGTGAGCAGCAAAAAAAAACAAAGCAAAAACAACAACAGCAACGACAAGAACAACAACAAGAAAAAACAGCAAAGAACCTTTCCTCCTTTTTTTCTCTCCGCGCTCCATTTCGCGCCCCTCTTCAATATTTGAAGGCCTAGAATAGCCATGTATAACATGCCTTCCGGTTTACTGACGCAACACTTTTGTTTCTATGAAAACTACAGCATAGAAACAGGGTACACTGAGAAAACAGCAGGCCCTTAGATCTGGATGAGTGTTTAAATTACAAATACAAATATCTTACACACAGAACCATCCCTCCGACTCAGGGATCAACTGTGCAATTGTTGATGAGCGGACTTGTGTCGAAAATGTAAACAAGTTGTTTAGCGTTCAACGATTTGCAAGTAACGACAACATTAAATTCCTTACAAATGTTGCTATATGTACTCTATAGCTAAAGGCCCCTGCAAACGGACTTCGCAACATTGTGGGATGTTACATGTTGTGTCCCGTTTGCACATCCTGTTGCATGTTGTTGCGTGTTGTTGGGAGTTGTTGCGCAAAGTTTGATACCAGTCAAACGTTTAGCTAAGTGCAATCGGACGCAACAACTCCCAACAATGTTGGGCTACCGATGTTGGGAGTTGTTACGTCCGTTTACACGGAGCTTAATTATTTTTACAAATTCCATCGATGTTGAGCCTTAATGCGCCTATGTTTGCATTTTTTTGGTTCATTTTAGATCCCATGGCTTGACGCTACCCAGAATGCAGCGCATCATCAGGGGAATTTCAAAAAGTTTTAAACTAATAGACGTTAGTTTCTTATCGCAGAAATCCAGAAATCTTAGCTCAGTAAAAGCGTATGATCTAACTTTAGAGTTAATTTATCCCAATAAACAGATGTGCTTGTCTTAGGTATTCCATGATGTTTGAACTCTAACCTCAATTCAGGTTATCACCATTTTACAGTATTCGCTTTATGAGCAACTAATGTTCTGTGACAGGCAGGATGCTAATCACGTACAGATTGAACAATTTAATCCTAAGCTGGACACCCCGGCTCGCCAAGCAAAATAACTTATTTACATAACTGCAGCTGCTGGTCACTTATAGGCTTTAATAGACTGTGCTCGAAAAAGTAGAATATGCTACTAGCAGTGCTCCTATATTTCTAAAATTACGGCAATATTCATGCTAGTTTTTTTTTTACTTCAAAATTGATGAAAATACCTCAATAACTATGCAGCAAACAATTAAATAGCAAAAACATTTATCCTATTTACATCTAGAAAATTTAAGAGTGCATAATTAGTTCTCTGAAAACTATAAATTAAAGCAAAACGTCTGAGCACACGCGGACGCCCTCTTGGGTAACCGAACTAGCCAGTTATGCCCATGCGTTGAGTTCTGTGGAAAGGTCCTAGAACCGATGAATGCGACAATAAGCAGGCAAAAAATTGATTTTGTTACTTAAAGTTGCCCGTAACACTTATCTGGGTCAAAAAAAATTGGTTGCATGATCAAAAAATGCCAATTTTATACAGCGGAACTAGCCAAAAGGGCAAATTATGCTACCAGTGCTTCTTTCGGGAAATACATGAAAAGTATACTCGTAATGACGAATGATGCCAAAAATTATTGCTGGCACAATTTGCAAAGCCTAGTCGCTCTCGTAAGGTCGAGCACAAAGAGTATCTTAATAAAGGATAACGACTACAGCTCACAAATAATTAACATTGCAAATACACCGTATTAAAGGATTGTTTGTTTTACTGACAGTGACTTGTGAAGTCACCTTCGACTCTCTTCTAGAGCTAAATTGCTAAGCCTCTGCTCGCTTCTTTTTCTATGGTGAAACTCGTGAGGACGTCGAAGAGGCACAGATGGAATAACTTAACCCTATGTAATACCGATCAAGGATGCAAAGAGCTTTACTATAATAAAAAATTCAGAGATTTAAAAAGCTTTTTCGTTTTAGGTGGTTCTATTGTTCACACGAGTGATGGCGCAAGCGCAAGCGCTGACGGAGAAGAAAACATGACACGTTTCCAGTACCGTCATCTCAAACGCAAGCGTCGACGCATGCAAGGATATAAAAACTTTGCGGTTTCTTGCGTTTTCGTTGGCGCTTGCATTTGCAATTGTATTTCACACGTGTGAACCCTTTCAATGCAAACGCAACCAAACACGAAGGGTGAGAAAGGTTTGTACGCCATGTTGGAATGCTGAAAGCTCCATTGTGGGTACGAACCAAGCTTGCTTTTTTGTTGGACGTATGAACATTTCTTTTGCTTTGTGTGATCCAGCCCTAATGGGACAGTATCATGACATCTGGGGAAACCCTGAATTGTACTTGCAGCATCAAAACCATCTGAAAATTATTGTTAAAAGTGCTTAAAAAACGCGCAAGCTGTAAGATTCACGATTTGACAATGGTCCGTTACCAGCGTTATAACAAGACAATCAAATACATTGTCTTGATATCAAAGAGGCAATTGAAGGCTGACTTGGCTATCCAGCACGCACGAAACGCACCGATGTCATCGCTACAGATCGGTTATCATTAGATAATTATCCCTTTATCGTGGAAAACACTGGTAATGTCTCCTTCCATCATACCTAATTGCACTTAACTTAAAAAAGTAGTAAAACCAAGAACTAAACACAGAGCTTAATATAAAGAACCTGTAGATAAGGTTCCGCCCGAGAATTAACCTGCGAGGTTTCAAATGATTTCGCAGGGTGCGTTTCTTTGGGATGATCCGGATCATGATCAGTGATCCGAGATCACTCGCATCATGATGTAAAGGAATCGATAATCCTCTCGGGGCAAGGATTCATCGGCTCCTTTGATGATCCGAGTAATCTCAGCGAGATCACTGTTCCTGATCCTGGTAATCCCAAAGAAACGTACAATTATAGAGGATGGTAAACCGGCTGATGATAGAGAAGTAGGGGAAGAAAAAAAGTCTGTGAGTTGGCAGCAGCTCTAAAATGAAGAAGGTTGTGTTAGGGAAATCTGCCTTGTAAACACATAAACGTACAGACCAACAATGGAACGCCCCGAGTTTTAAAATGGGCTTGGCTTTTTTCTTCTGGGACAAATTCTCCCTAGCGTCTTCTGCGCATGCGTAACATATAAGAATTTAACTTAAGTAGCACATGTACATAGCTGTAAAGCCAGCATCAGGTGAGCGAGGCCATCTTTCTAAGGTGTAAACTCAAGGAAACAAGCGAAATTGAGTCTTGTCATTTACAATACGCTAAATCTGTACACCAAATGTACGCGGTACTCATAGTCGACCTACAGAAAAACATATCAAGCGTACATGAATAACTTTACGAGAGACCCAACAAATTACGAGTCAACCTTATTGAGAAACCCTCTCGATTTAGTCAGCTACCAACGGAGCGCTTGAAGCGCTTCTAAATAAGAATTAAGTAATCGCCTATAACCACCGAAATTGATACTTTTAAACACTTTTTTGTACTTAAACGTTACTGAGTGTTTCTGATCAACGCAAGAGTGTGGTTGACGATACTTTTGATACTTTTCGATACTTTTGCTTTACAGGAAAAGAAAGGAAAAAACGAATCGAATACTTCAATCTGCTTTTGTTGACTGTATTTTATCTTCCTTTGTTCTTATCATGAGACCTTCTATCAAATTTATTATTTCGTTATTTTGCAGATGTTAATGCAGCCAGACTTTCTTGTTTTGCATATATTGTGATTCAATTTTATCTTTGGTTTAAATTTTATCACTTTTGCTTTTTGATATCAAATGGTAATTTATGATAATAAGTTTGAAACAAAAGAAAATAAAATTTCCACCAAGGATAAAATTGAACCACAATACATTCGTCTATGACCGGGAATTCTTAGACAGAGATACCCGTTTAATAACAAAATAACGGTGTGCCTATAATGATTTCTGTGGCGAGAGCGAGACGAGACAAGAAAATTTACACAAGGGAAACGGGGAAAATCCAGTTGACGCAGCTGAGTAGCTTAAAGAAAAACCTGTACTAGATAAACCTCTTGGAGCAATTCTAGACAGAAAATTCTAAGAATAAAATGCGTTATGAAATCTTTCCGCCGCGTTCATAAGCTGGATCATGAATACGGATACAACGGTCACTGACAGCGCAAACAAGGATGTTATTAGTTTAATTATATAAATTAAATATGAATATAAATCAGTAAACTTAAAACCCGTGAGCAAGGGGAAATTGGAAGTAAAGTACTAACCAACATGTTGCCCATGCGAAAGTCAGAGGGAGCCACCCATCAGTTAGATGGAAATCATTGGTAGTTCATGAAAATTTATTATTTTTTCCCAAGTGTTTGACTTCTTTTTATACTGAATTGAACTTTCTCGCAAGACTGGTTATGCCAAGAAATTCGCTAGCACAGTCTGTGGCATTTCTTAAAAATATTTCATGGACGAAAATTAAAATGAAAATTAAAATAACTATAGCTTGTGAAAATTAAACAAAATTACTTATAATTAGTTGCCAATTACAGAAGGTTGCTTTTTCAGCGACTCATCCGATCAGTTTTAATAAGATGTTTCGTAGATGTCTTAATATAAGCAAACATTCAGTTTCATTTATAGTTAAACTATGTCGTCTAATATATAATTATCTCAATTCCACTTGGCGAGTAACTGCAACTAAGCACTCTTTTCAGCAGACTTGAGAATAAAACAATTTATTAAGTTCGAATTCCTGCGACATAAAACACTAGTGAAAAAATGAGCTCATTTTAGGTGATTTAATACGGTTGTCTTAATGTGTCGATGGTTATAGTTAAGGCTTCGGTGATGAGGTAATTTTTGAGATATACAAAGGAAACGCAAAGCCAACAGTAAAATTATGATATTTATGAAAATTCCGCGACAATTAAAAAT